ACCTTACTAGAGTGTAACTCTGGTTTAAGGGGGGTAGGGACTCGCGCGAGCAAAAACCGATTTGGTTCACGCTCATCACGCTCTGACGAAGAAGTCATTGCGTTTGATGCCGATATCGATAACATCGATATCGAAGAAGATGATGCCAGTGAGAGTGCGGAAGCCCTCACTGAAGAAAAGGTTGATGTTGCTGCAGTGCGCTCACAGTGCACTGAAGCTAACGAGTCATCAGATGAGTTCGTACTGGCTCGTGAAACGGTAGTCCGTTTTGTGCAAGACTCCATCGCCGAAGCGGTGGATAAGCAAAAGCAAAACGCTGATAAGAATGGAAGGGCAAACACTCTTTTATTTAATAAATGTGACTTAGTCCTACTGTCTACGGTTAATCTACCAAAACATGTAGTGACTAACTTGGGTACAGTAAACTACTACCCAAGTACATTGGCCCATTTCGTGTATTGCACCGCCTAGGCAATGCATACACGATCGAGTTACCACGTAAGATGCGAACGCATCCCACGTTTTACGTTGTTCGGCTTAAGCCGTACCTTCAGTGTGCTGCTTCTTCCGATGAAGAGCGCCCTTGCTCTCAAGCATCTCGCAGAGAGCCTTGTGCTCCCGATGGTGGGCATCAACAAGGGTCTGAAGAGCAGCTATCTCATCCCGAGACCGATCAGCAATCCCACGAGCTACCCTTAGCTCGTCACGAAGAGATGTCAGAGATCTCTCGTTCTCAAGCTGAGCAAAGGCAAACTCAGCTCGATGCTTCAAGGCAGTGTCCGCCATTTGGAGACGCCTATTCCGCTCATGTTCGAGATCGTCGCGTAACCCTTGCGTTACGCGATCAAAGAAGCTCTCGGGAACATACCGATCCACATGATCGTGTGGAGAGCGTCTTTCCTCCTCCTCCACCTCCATTAGAGGACTCTCGCGGTGGCCAGCGCTATCTAGTTGAGCAGCTGTTGAACCACCGCGACGTGAACGGGCGTCGGACGAGTTATCTCGTCCGGTGGCGCGGCTATCCCCCGTCCTGGGATTCTTGGGAGCCCCGCTCCCAATTGATGATCGACGTACTGGATCTGGTTGAGCAGTACGACGCGGCACATCCTGTGCCGCAGAAGGACCGCCGGAGAAAGTCTTCCCGGCACGGTCGTAAAGGGATTTCAGGTTGTCAATCCCTTCGTACATCTCAGTAGAGATACGTACGCGCCACCACGGGCTGGTAGGGAGGTAAGCCTCCTTAGGTGCTCGTGCAGAGTTGTTCACACAACATGGGCACGAGTCTCCCCAAGAGAGGCAGGGTAATCCTTTCTCCCTTGACAGACGATGCAGCTTGTAGCGTGCACCTGTCGGGGTTCGCTTTTCAAACTTATCACGAGCTTTGATAAGTTTGTCGTTCCAAGCGTCACGACCTACATCCTCAAGGTTATGGATGATGTAGGCGTTCCGCTCCTGAAGTAGTGAGGGACCATCACGTTTGTGATTCCCACTGTACCATCGATGTCTATAGAAAGCATCGATGAAGAACTCGTTTTCAGCGCGATAGTTTTTCGCGCTGGGGTCAAGGTGATGGATCCTTGACGAATCGAACAATCGTGTTCGACAACGATCACTCGTCGTCGCCGACAAGTGATCCATGACGAATTTTGGAGGCATCCATGCCTTCTTTTCTGGAGCGAGACGCAACACATTGCGGTCCCGCTCTTCCTGCGACGTGCCGACAGAAGTACTGGCACCTCGCTGTGAAGTGGTGTCCATAGGAGAGCCGACACCACTATTAGCGCCCGAGTCTCGCGACCTCGAGCGCCTTCGCTTCGGCGATGGTTCATCTGATGCATCAGATGAACCAAAGATGCTGCGACGCAAAGCATCGTCCATGCCACGCTTGGCAGGCGGCTTAGATTCAATCGCCGTCGATACGGATCCGTCATCCGTATCAGGAGAGTACGAGACACCGCGCTCGTACTCTGTGAAGACACGAGTGTCTTCATGACCAGCGCCTGCATCACCAAATGACACAGGCTGAGTCGCTTCAGCAACCGATGAGACATCAGTTGCTGTTGTTTCTGCTTCGGCGTCCGCACAGAGACGTGCAGACGCGCTCTCGGCGGCCTTGCTCGCGCATCGCATGGGCTTGTTAACCATGCGATGAGATGTTGGAAAGTGGACGCGGACCAACAAGTGCAAACCCTGTCCCAAATGATTTGGGACGAGTATCCATTTAGTCAATCAGTCACTAAAGTGACTGATGGTTAAGGGGGGGGTGATGTAACGGGGTGAATCGTTACATAACAATTTATAAGAAATTGTTAATAGAATATAACTATAAGAGTTATATTCTCAGAATATTGTCATAAGGACAAATATTCTGTAGCACTTACGAGTAGTTCCTAATTGGTTGATATAGGCCATTATATCAACCAACGAAGACGCGCCACGACAGACGCACGCAATGAGTGGTGAGCAGATATTTGATTTACACATTTGTATTTAGACATAGTTAGATGAAGATAAATAGTGATTTATTGCAGACATTAACTATACTAAATACAGTTCTACTTTTACTCTAACAAAGTACTCGCTTCTTCTTACCGTCTTCCTCTGCACGTACGAGTGTACGTGAAGTTACGAGGCACCGCCTTTTTCTGTCATCAGAATAAGTAGCTTGTACTGTCACCAGTACAAGCTTCAGGGTGCCCCGTTACAGCGGCGGTATCGCGAGCAACCTGTCAGTCAGCACACGACACAGTGGCTCGACCAATGGATCCGAAACTCGCAGCACCGCACCGATTCCGTCGTTTTGGCGCCGCTTATGGACAGTTCCGATGATTGGGGCCGGTTGAGGGAATAAGATTATGCGGGGGATGATTTGCTAAAATTTTGCGATCCCCAGCGGAAAGCGAAGCTGAGCCAACACTTAGTGTGTGCGCTAGTGTACGATCGAGAGATAGCAGCGCTCGTGGAAGGGGTTCCAGCGGATACGCGCGTGTCCGAGAAGCTCCGATCACATATCCACCTACTGAGCACGAATGCTTTGTACAGGAAGGCGTATTACTCGTCCGCCAGCGTGGCTGACTGGGCGGCGATTGAGCGGTTTTTCTACTCAGGGCTCACCCGTCCTGCGGAGACATATCTCCTCCAGTACTAAGGGCACTCCACGGGTACTCCTCACGTCACTGTCTACGGATGCGACGCTCTCGAGCGCGGACGCATACGGTCGCAGCGCATTGCTTCATACCATCCTGGGATCCACTTCTCGCCACACAAGTCAGAGGACGGCGAATCAGAGGCTTCTGACCCAAAATGTCCTCGGCTTCACACAGGCCAAACGGATCCAATGGATGACGGCCTGGCGTCGGACTCCAGTGAGCTCTAGGCCTCTAGCTTGGTGCATACAGGAAACTCATGTCACGAGCGCCGAGGAAGCAGCGGACCTGCGGCAGGAATGGCGCCGGTTGCGGGGAAAGCATCGCGACTCCGGTCAGGCGCCCATGTCCTTTTGGACGGTAGGGTCCTCTAAGACCAGTGGTGTGGCCATTTTACTCACTCCGACAGCCGCTACGGGGGGCCGTTGCGTGGAATGAAGACAAATGGCATTCTAGCGCTATTGGGATTACAGTGCAGGACTTATGTATCTTAAATGTTTACGCCCCCAATCTCAGGGGAGAGTGCGAGGCTTTTTCACGAGTCTTCACGGGTGGAACTTGCCGCTGGGGAGAACAGCCTTGCTAGGGGATTTTAATTGCGTGCAGAGTCCTCAACTGGATCGACTAGGTTCTCGAATTGCTAGTAGGACGGAAAGTCCTGCGCTGGAAAAGTTACTCGAGACGTCTAGGCTGAGTGATGCTCGTCTTATGAGGTATCATGCAGACGAAGAGGAAGAGGATTTGACTGATCACTACACATACTGGACTGCCGAAACAGCCATCCGGATCGACCGAATCTACGTATCCGAATACTGGGCATCGACAGTTCTATGACGGTCCGCCACTCCTCCCTCTGTCTACTCTGATCACCAACAGGTCGTTCTTCATTTACGGCTCCGTCAATCCAAACCCACAACCTCCGCCAGAGCGCGTGTTGTGTATCCTATCGAGTCAAATCAACAGGACCGGGTCTTAAGAGATCTATTACGAGAAATGGAAGCCTCGCGGGTGGGTCACGCGCCTACAGTACAATCTTGGGACACTACCGTGAACCGGTGCGTCCGCTGTTTAACCGTGGTAAATAAACGGGAAAAGCAGCGGCTACGGCGCTTTATCTCGAAAATACGACAGCGAGGGAGGCGGCTGTTTTTCACCAGGCGTCATTGGATAGCGGCCAATGTGGAGGAAATGCGGGAGGATCATTGAGTGCGTCTCGGCGAGCAGTTAGAGAGATCTACCGAGCGTCTTCGGTGGTCTTACAAGCGGGTAGCCAATTGGGAACGGGACCAACGTGTCTCCTCGTTGACAGCACGCTATGGGCACGCATTCACACGACATATGTCCCTGGCAGATAGATTTGCGTCGGAGTGGGAGTCCGTGTTAAGCGCCAGCCATCGCAAGGAGCCACTGGACTCGTTGCCCGCGGCGATCCGTGATTTCGCGACGATCCCACATGTGCAAGTGCTCACTCCACTCGATAATGAACGCCTGCTGCTACCGATAACGTAAGCCGAGGTGCTTTCAGCCGTCCGAGGGCTGAGTCGGTATAAAGCGGCGGGTCCCGATGGTCTCAATAATGATTTTTACAAAGATACAGCAGCGCTGATGGTGCCGGCGCTTGTAGCTATCGGCAACCAAATTCTAGCGGGGGCCGACCTACCCCCTTCATTTCTGTCGGCTTCAATTATTCCGCTTATGAAGAAAGGTGACTCAGATGACGCCATGGATTATCGACCGATCTCTTTATTACAAACCGGGTACAAGGTTTTTGCCAAGGTGCTAGCTACGAGGGTGTAGGTGTGTTTACCGCGTATCATTAGTGACTCCCAACAAGGTTTTGTTCACGGGCGCCGTATGACCAAGACGGTGATGATGATGATGGCCCAACTAACGACGGCGACGGAGCAGATCGACTTGACGGCGGAAGACAGTCGCTGTATCTTATTACTCGACTTTCGGAAGGCTTACGATACTGTGGACCGAGATTTCTTATACGAGTCCATGCGTCTATTTGGTTTTACAGAAAGCTTTATTGACCTCATCTGTCGGATCCACACGGGCACGACTGCAACTTTTGTCGTTAATGGAGGTCAATCCTCCGCGCTCCCGGTGCGTTCCGGAATCCGGCAAGGCTGCCCGCTTGCGCCTCTCCTCTTTTTACTCGTAGTAGAGGTATTAGGGCTCGCCCTCAAGCAAGACCCGTCACTCAAAGGATTGCCAGTGCCTGGGACTGTCGACCGGACTCATCTCTTTTCGGCGTTCGTCGATGACTCAACGCTCTTTTTGGACACGGCAAAACAAATCCTCCATGCTCTCGGAATTATTCAAGCGTTCGGGAATCTGTCAGGCCTTCATGTGCAACCGGCAAAGAGCAAGCTTCTTTTTTTTGAACCGGGCCATCTCCAGAGCGAGCTTTGCCGGTATAGACATCGTGCCCTCCGGCGCCACTACCAGGTACCTTGGGTACGAGATCGGGACCGGGCCTCTGGACAACAAAAATTGGGCTCATCGGATCCGGACAATTCAGCGCCGCCTCCTCACTGTGACGCGGGTGGCGACAAGCGTTGAGAACAGGGTACTCATCCTGAACTCCATTGTTCTCCCCTCCTTGCTATTTACGGCGTCCGTCTTCTACGTCCCTCGATGGGCGGAAAAAGAGGTGCATAATTCATACAAGAACTTTCTATGGGAGCACGCGACTGTGACCGACAATAGCCGCCACAAGGTCAACCCAGGCCTGCTAGTGACGCCCAAACAGGCTGGGGGGATTAAGCTTATCGATGTCTCGGTAGCTGTCAAGACTCAACGGACGAAGCATGCGATTAGTTGGCTAACGCAGCGCCAGGACAAGTATTTTGACGCATGGCGAGTATGGGCTTTTTGGGGAGAGCCTCCGGGTACTGCGAAGAAAATTTCACCAGCTACGGCTACTAGGAGGGCGGAGTCACGATGTAGCCGCTCTAAGTACCAGGCACTGACGCAGGAGCTTGGAGAATGGCTCGCACCTACACCAGCACAACTTGACAGCCTGAAGTCGTGGATCGCCAGTCAATCGCCGGCTCTGCTTGAACGGGCCGCCAGCTGGTGGGAAGGGGAGGATTACGTATTGTCGTATTATCAAGCCTTTCCTCGGCGGCCGGTGGGGGCCGATGACTTTCCACTAAAAATTCAGCGGTTTTGGCACACCTTTAATTGGAGTGCAAACCCCTGGATCCGGGATATGTAACGGGGCACCCTGAAGCTTGTACTGGTGACAGTACAAGCTACTTATTCTGATGACAGAATAAGGCGGTGCCTCGTAACTTCACGTACACTCGTACGTGCAGAGGAAGACGGTAAGAAGAAGCGAGTACTCGGTTAGAGTAAAAAGTAGAACTGTATTTATAATAGTTAATGTCTGTCAATAAATCACTATTTATCTTCATCTAACTATGTCTAAATACAAATGTGTAAATCAAATATCTGCTCACCACTCATTGCGTGCGTCTGTCGTGGCGCGTCTTCGTTGGTTGATATAATGGCCTATATCAACCAATTAGGAACTACTTGGAAGTGCTACAGAATATTGTCCTTATGACAATATTCTGAGAATATAACTCTTATAGTTATATTCTATTAACAATTTCTTATAAATTGTTATGTAACGATTCACCCCGTTACATCACCCCCCCTTAACCATCAGTCACTTTAGTGACTGATTGACTAAATGGATACTCGTCCCAAATCATTTGGGACGGGGTTTGCACTTGTTGGTCCGCGTCCACTTTCCAACATCTCATCGCATGGTAAACAAGCCCATGCGATGCGCGAGCAAGGCCGCCGAGAGCGCGTCTGCACGTCTCTGTGCGGACGCCGAAGCAGAAACTACAGCAACTGATGTCCCATCGGTTGCTGAATCGACTCAGCCTGTATCACCTGGTGATGCAGGCGCTGGTCATGAAGACACTCGTGTCTTCACAGAGTACGAGCTCGGTGTCTCGTACTCTCCTGATACGGATGACGGATCCGTATCGACGGCAATTGAATCCAAGCCGCCTGCCAAGCGTGGCATGGACGATGCTTTGCGTCGCAGCATCTTTGGTTCATCTGATGAGTCAGATGAACCATCGCCGAAGCGAAGGCGCTCGAGGTCGCGAGACTCGGGCGCTAATAGTGGTGTCGGTTCTCCTATGGACACCACTTCACAGCGAGGTGCCAGTACTTCTGTCGGCACGTCGCAGGAAGAGCGGGACCGCAATGTGTTGCGTCTCGCTCCAGAAAAGAAGGCATGGATGCCTCCTAAATCTGTCATGGATCACTTGTCGGCGACGACGAGTGATCGTTATCGAACACGATTGTTCGATTCGTCGAGGATTCATCACCTTGACCCCAGCGCGAAAGACTATCGCGCTGAACATGAGTTCTTCATCGATGCTTTCTTCAGACATCGATGGTACAGTGGGAATCACAAACGTGATGGTCCCTCACTACTTCAGGCGTGGAACGCCTACATCCATAATCTCGAGGATGTAGGTCGTGACGCTTGGAACGACAAACTTATCAAAGCTCGTGATAAGTTTGAAAAGCGAACCCCGACAGGTGCACGCTATAAGCTGCATCGTCTGTCAAGGGAGAAAGGATTACCCTGCCTCTCTTGGGGAGACTCGTGCCCATGTTGTGTGAACAACTCTGCACGAGCACCTAAGGAGGCTTACCTCCTTACCAGCCCGTGGTGGCGCGTACGTGTCTCTACTGAGATGTACGAAGGGATTGACAACCTGAAATCCCTTTACGACCGTGCCGGGAAGACTTTCTCCGGCGGTCCTTCTGCGGCACAGGATGTGTCGCGTCGTACTGCTCGACCAGACCCAGTACGTCAACCATCAATTGGGAGCGGGGCTCCCAAGAATCCCAGGACGGGGGATAGCCGCGCCACCGGACGAGGTAACTCGTCCGACGTCCGTTCACGTCGCGGTGGTTCAACAGCTGCTCAACTAGATAGCGCTGGCCACCGCGAGAGTCCTCTAATGGAGGTGGAGGAGGAGGAAAGACGCTCTCCACACGATCATGTGGATCGGTGTGTTCCCGAGAGCTTCTTTGATCGCGTAACGCAAGGGTTACGCGACGATCTCGAGCATGAGCGGAATAGGCGTCTCCAGATGGTGGACACTGCCTCGAAGCATCGAGCTGAGTTTGCCTTTGCTCAGCTTGAGAACGAGAGATCTCTGACATCTCTTCGTGACGAGCTAAGGGTAGCTCGTGGGATTGTTGATCGGTCTCGGGCTGAGATAACTGCTCTTCAGACCCTTGTTGATGCCCACCATCGGGAGCACAAGGCTCTCTGCGAGATGCTTGAGCGCAAGGGCGTTCTTCATCGGAAGAAGCAGCGTACTGATGGTACGGCTTAAGCCGACCAACGTAAAACGTGGGATGCGTTCGCATCTTACGTGGTAACTCGATCGTGTATGCATTGCCTAGGCGGTGCAATACACGAAATGGGCCAATGTACTTGGGTAGTAGTTTACTGCTACCCAAGTTAGTCACTACATGTTTTGGTAGATTAACCGTAGACAGTAGGACTAAGTCACCTTTACTAAATAAAAGAGTGTTTGCCCTTCCATTCTTGTCAGCGTTTTGCTTTTGCTTATCCACCGCTTCGGCGATGGAGTCTTGCACAAAACGGACTACCGTTTCACGAGCCAGTATGAACTCATCTGATGACTCGTTAGCTTCAGTGTGCTGTGAGCGCACTGCAGCAACAACAACCTTTTCTTCAGCGAGGGCTTCCGCACTCTCACTGGGATCATTGTCTTCAGTGAGGGCTTCCGCACTCTCACTGGCATCATCTTCTTCGATATCGATGTTATCGATATCGGCATCAAACGCAATGACTTCTTCGTCAGAGCGTGATGAGCGTGAACCAAATCGGTTTTTGCTCGCGCGAGTCCCTCCCCCCTTAAACCAGAGTTACACTCTAGTAAGGTGGGTACACGCGGATGGCGCAAGCCATTCACGTAAAACGGTGTATGTGTCGTGGACGCATGCACCGAGTTGTTGATGGCAAACTCTACCATCGGCAAAAACTCACTCCAACTCTTAAAGGAGTGTACGTATCCTCGAAGTATCTCTTCAAGGACACGATTGGCACGTTCCGTCTGACCATCTGACTCTGGATGATCAGATGTTGACATCTTCAAGCGCGTTCCGAGTGATTTGAACACGGAACGCCAGAAATCAGCAGTGAATCGTGGATCTCTGTCTGATACGAGTTCACGGGGCAACCCATGAAGTCGGAAGATGGTGTCAATAAAGACACAAGCACAGCCACTTGCCGTGATTGTCTCTGGTACAGCCACAAGGTGTACCATTTTGCTGAATCTGTCAACAAATACGAGAATACCCGTATTCCCGCGTGCGTCTTTGGGTAACCCGAAGACGAAATCCATTGAGATGGATTCCCAGCACTCAGCCGGAACCGGTAGAGGCTGTAATGGTGCACGCAGTGAAGGACTTGACTTCACTCGTTGGCAGACTTCGCATGCGCGAACATACTTTCGCACAATCTGATACTGGCGGGGCCAGTAAAAGTCTCGACTTACCGTGAGATATGTTTTCTCTCGGCCACGATGTCCTCCTATAGGAGCATCGTGATACTCGAACATGATCCGCAAACGCAGATCAGTATCATCTGGAATGACAACACGTGGTGTGTCACCAGAAACGGCTGTATAGTACAGTAAACCGTTACGAGTAGTGTATCGATCTGATGCAGATCGATACGCAGACGACAATCGTTTCAACGATTCTCGAGATGGTTGGGAGAGATGTGACAACAACTTCACTATCTCACCATCTTGGGCGTATGCCCGCCTCACATCATCATACAACGTTGTAGATGGAACTGAGGACGTCATAACCGCAACAGTGACTGTCTCACTGTTGGGTTTCGCGACTGTTTCAAAGTCGGGACGACGTGAGAGTGCATCAGCGACGACATTAAGTCGTCCTGGTTTGTACTCGACCGTAAAGTTGTATTCTGCAAAGAATGACAACCACCGCGCCATTCGTTGTGAAAGGTGCGGGCTGTTCACTGCCGTGCGTAAGGACGCATGGTCAGTGTAAACAACGAAGGGTCTATCTCCTAATAGATAGACTCTGAACTTCGCGAGTGCATACTTCATGGCAAGGAGTTCCTTGTCATGCACTGGATAGTTCCGCTCAGCTGGTTGCAGCTGACGCGACTGATAGCAGACGACGCGTTCAACGCCTTCAAGGTCGTACTGCATTAATGCACAGCCGATTGCGAAATCGCTGGCATCACAGACCACATGAAATGGCCTGTCCTGATCGGCTATTGCTAGGACTGGGGATTGTATCAAGCTCTGCTTGATACCCTCAAAGGAGCGTTGACATTCAGCGTTCCATAACCACCTCTCGTTCTTTTTCAACAAACGAGAGAGGTGTACAGTCATCTCGGCGTAATTGCGTGAATACTTATGCAAATACGCCGCTAGCCCAAGGAATTTTCGAAGACCTTTGACATCGACCGGCACGGGCCAGTCGGTGATCGCCTTGATCTTTTCGGGATCAGGACGTACACCGTTCTTACCAACGATGCACCCAAGAAGTGGTATTTCGCTTGCTGCAAATATACACTTCTTGAGGTTTGCATACAATTGATGCTTTCGCATGATTGTAAGAACTTGTCGGACGTGGTACTTGTGAACCTCAACGTCCGACTTTCCATCCATAGCTCGACTATGGATGAATACGTCATCGAAATAACTCGGCGCGAATTCTCGTACTGGCCTCAACAGATGTGATACACACCTGTTGAACGTGGCAGGGGCATTACTGAGCCCTTGTGGCATTACTAGCCATTCCCAGAGCATGCCGCTAGGCGTGCTAACTGCGGTATAGGGTATATCCCGTTCCCGGATTAGGATTTGATAGAAGCCATCCATCAAATCCATGGACGAAAAGATGGTACTCTTTGACATACCATCAATAATTACGTCCTTCCTCGGTATCGGCGTCTGAGCCGGTACCGTTGCAGCGTTCAATTTGTTAAACGCGTGCACTATCCGCCACCCTCCTGTTGCTTTTCGCACACAGAAGGTCGGAGAGCTATGTGGGGAAGTTGATTCCCTCACATGGCCCGCTGCTAAACGATCGGCAAAGAACTTGTCGATCGCAAGTACTTGTTCACGAGGCAGTGGCCACTGCTTCATGACACAGTACTTCGAGCCTGGTTTAAGCTCGACTTCGTGTCGAATACCTTTATCCTTCGGTAATTCGCACGGAACAGTTTCAGGGAATACATCCTTGAATTCAACCAAATCTTCATAGAGAGGATTTTCCTTGAGCGATTCCCATGATTGGGACTCATATCGCTCAATTCGTGTCTTTTCATCTAGGACACTCTCGTCCATAGATGAACTACTGAGAACTCTCTCGTTCTCAGTAAACACTGTTGCTGACCTTATGTCGGTTACATACTCGTCTTCAGCGACGAGTATGCAGATCTGCTTGACTTTGCCACTACGCAGATCACGCAAGAATCTTTTATGTTCGAGCGTTGGCAACTGAGTGATCTCCGAAGTTAACTTCGGAGGCGCAATCAGATCAAGTGTATAAGCGCCTACACATGATCCGTTATTGACTATGACATTCAATGTCTCTGTCATTTCCTGGGGACTTATTCCCTCAGGCTTCGAAGGACTTATTCCTTCGTCTTCCCGGGGACTTATTCCCGCGGGTTTCGGGGAACTTATTTCCGCCGTATTTGTAATCTTGGGACTTATTCCCTTTACTTCCTCTAGCTGGGGTTGCGCAACCACAGCGAGATCCTCTACGAAAGACTCTCCAGTCGATCTAGGATTATCGTTTCGCTTAACCTGAGCGACCGATTGTTTCTCTTCTAGATGTTCCCCTCTAGGGATACATCTTTGTCCCAGTCCACCCGACTTATTCGAGTGGTGGACCTTCGGCGCAGCCTGTGTTTCCTCACAGCCGCCGGAACTTTGCTCCGAAGTGTAACCGTTTGGTACACTAAGGTTTTGTGCAGTCGTACTAACGACCGTACCACAAGTGAGGCCATCGCACTCACTCGTAGTACATCCACACGCTTGTGGACGCTCCAAAACGTTCATCAGATGGCCATCTGATGAACAAGCGGCAGGCATCGTTACTGTCCGATGTTGCCAGTTTACCCGTGGTTCGTACCTTCTGAGCCACGGTATTCCAAGGATGACATCAAATTTGTCATCCAAATCCAATACGATAAAGTCATCGTCGTATTGGGTATCTTCTAGCGTATAGTGAATCTTCACTATACGCTTCATGACGGTTACGGATGCGCCTGTCGCAAGACGTACCGTCATCCTCGTAGGAGGTGTGTCACATTCACTGAATTTAAAGTGACCATCTTCTAGCGATTGGCGTCGCACAAAATTGTTGGACGCCCCACAATCGACTAGAGCTCGAAGGGACAACTTATTCGTCACTTCGAGTTTCAAGGTAATGAGTGAGATCTCATTACCTAGAGCAGCAACGCACAATGTCTGTGTGTTGGGAGCAACCTTCATCAAGAGGCCTACAAATTCTCTTGACGTTGCTGGATCAGTAGGGTGCTCCGCACCTACTGATCCTGTCCGTTTTTTGACGGTCCATCCCGTTGTTGCGTCTTTGCACCAACTGCGGACCCTCGTCCCTGCCCCTTTCTCATGGGTGGACGGTCACTACGCCCAGTGTCGCGAGACACTGGACGAGGGGCACTACACTCGTAAGCGTAGTGTCCTGTCTTTTGACATCTGTTGCATCTCTGCAACTTCTTGTAGCCTGTAGAGCGAGCCTTCTCGCTCTCTACATAACAGAGTTCCATCGGCTCTGGACCTCCGTTGTCATATCGTCTCGGTTGACGATATGATGTCGAGCTGGCGCGAGCCTGTCTCAGACTGAAGTCTTCCTGCTCCGCAATGGAAATGGCTTGTTCTAGTGAATCTAGTTCAAGCCGGAACAGGTGAGTCTTGACGGGACCATCCGCAAGACCCTGCATGAACACCGAAACCAACGTGTGTTCATCCACCGGATTGGAACTTATACAACTCGTGAGATGTCGTATATGTTGAGCGTAAGCGTGCACATCACGCTTACCCTGCTTGAGCTTCAAGAGTTCGGTTCGAGCTCTGAACTCAGCTCTAGGCGGTTCAAACGTTTGTCTGAGCCGCGACTTGAAGACTTCCAACGACCCAAACGCATATGGGTCGTGCAGCTTGAGCCCCAGTGCCCAAGTCTTGGCACGTCCTGCCAGATTTGACTGGGCAAATGCAACTTGCATATCCCCGTCGTCGATGCGACGCGCCCTTATGGCGTCATCCAATTCGACGAACCATCTCAAGAGGGAGTCTTCTTCGACCCCCTATACTTGGAGATGTCAATCTTCAAAGTCTCGGGCCGACGCGAGTGCATCGACCCGCCAGCAGCAGCCTGCTGCTGTCTCAACAGTTCAAACTGTTGAGCACCTTGTTCTCTCAACAACTCTGCTTGTTGAGAACCTTGTTGGTGAAGCAAGGCTACTTTCTCGCGTTCTGCGTCAAGTTCATTTTGAATGAACTTGGCGATAGTAGCATGTTGGGCATCTCTATTGAGAGCCTCTAGCATGACGCTAACAGCATGGATGCCCATGGTCGAACCCATTCGTTCAACCGCATCCCATTCGACATCGCTCAAATGGGAGTAGCCGTCACGCGTAGCGTGAAAGCTTTGGTCATCTTCATCATCCAACATGAATATGTTGGATGTGAACGCGGTCCTTGGACGGACTACGAAGTGCTACCAGGTGTAACGGGGCACCCTGAAGCTTGTACTGGTGACAGTACAAGCTACTTATTCTGATAACAGAATAAGGCGGTGCCTCGTAACTTCACGTACACTCGTACGTGCAGAGGAAGACGGTAAGAAGAAGCGAGTACTTTGTTAGAGTAAAAAGTAGAACTGTATTTAGTATAGTTAATGTCTGCAATAAATCACTATTTATCTTCATCTAACTATGTCTAAATACAAATGTGTAAATCAGTTATCTGCTCACCACTCATTGCGTGCGTCTGTCGTGGCGCGTCTTCGTTGGTTGATATAATGGCCTATATCAACCAATTAGGAACTACTTGGAAGTGCTACAGAATATTGTCCTTATGACAATATTCTGAGAATATAACTCTTATAGTTATATTCTATTAACAATTTCTTATAAATTGTTATGTAACGATTCACCCCGTTACAGGATATGAGCGGTAATCTGCTGACACGCAGAAAGTACGATCGGATAGCAGTATGCTCTCTGGAAGTGCTTAACATAGTGCGCACAGGTCCGGCAGAATTTGTGATGACTGTGCCTCTGCCGCTACACCACCCAGGCCCTCACTCAGGAGCCAAATTAAGGCGGTGGGCGACAGCCTTGCTCTTATCCTCACCCTAATTACAAATTGGAGAGGCTCTAAACACGCCACCAGCACTCCGACCCCGACACGAGCCTCCGTTCTCGGTCAGCTTTGACTGGAGGCTGAACAGCGCTGGCAGCATTGAAGGTCGGCCATCGTCCAGTTCGAGGAGCCCACCCACGTCTTTCACTCTACACCAAGCCAGTGACGGGCTGCGATGGTTTTTTCAGGGATCGGTGCCGGAGTTAATTGCCGAGTCCGACATCGCTCGACAGGCGCTTACCCGCGAGCTCTTGACAGGAGGGCTCGTTGTTGAAGCGAACCCGCAGCTTCACCATTTTCCTTGGTCCGTTCTGGACAAAACGTCCAACATTCACATCGTTCAGGAACTCGGTCGCCAGGCTTTCCAGTTTCACAAGAAAGTATTTGCCCGCCCCCTGAAGGATTTTATCTCACGTCTCGACGACAGGGCTCTCATCGACAAGTGGCAGAGTGCCGCTCTCAGGCAATCTCCGCGGCAAGTGTGGGGTCATTGTCACGGACTCTCTCCATATCAAGTCTGGACAGGGTATCGGGTCGCGACGCGCCAGCTCAACCTGTACCATGCGGCGCGTCCTGTGGACAATAGTTGCCGGAAGGCACCAGCCTGTCACGGATGTCAAGGGACGATCATGCATGTCTTTTGGGAGTGCAACAGCGCAACTGCCCTATGGATTAAACTGTAACGGGGCACCCTGAAGCTTGTACTGGTGACAGTACAAGCTACTTATTCTGATAACAGAATAAGGCGGTGCCTCGTAACTTCACGTACACTCGTACGTGCAGAGGAAGACGGTAAGAAGAAGCGAGTACTCGGTTAGAGTAAAAAGTAGAACTGTATTTATAATAGTTAATGTCTGCAATAAATCACTATTTATCTTCATCTAACTATGTCTAAATACAAATGTGTAAATCAGTTATCTGCTCACCACTCATTGCGTGCGTCTGTCGTGGCGCGTCTTCGTTGGTTGATATAATGGCCTATATCAACCAATTAGGAACTACTTGGAAGTGCTACAGAATATTGTCCTTATGACAATATTCTGAGAATATAACTCTTATAGTTATATTCTATTAACAATTTCTTATAAATTGTTATGTAACGATTCACCCCGTTACATCACCCCCCTTAACCATCAGTCACTTTAGTGACTGATTGACTAAATGGATACTCGTCCCAAATCATTTGGGACGGGGTTTGCACTTGTTGGTCCGCGTCCACTTTCCAACATCTCATCGCATGGTAAACAAGCCCATGCGATGCGCGAGCAAGGCCGCCGAGAGCGCGTCTGCACGTCTCTGTGCGGACGCCGAAGCAGAAACAACAGCAACTGATGTCCCATCGGTTGCTGAATCGACTCAGCCTGTATCACCTGGTGATGCAGGCGCTGGTCATGAAGACACTCGTGTCTTCACAGAGTACGAGCTCGGTGTCTCGTACTCTCCTGATACGGATGACGGATCCGTATCGACGGCAATTGAATCCAAGCCGCCTGCCAAGCGTGGCATGGACGATGCTTTGCGTCGCAGCATCTTTGGTTCATCTGATGAGTCAGATGAACCATCGCCGAAGCGAAGGCGCTCGAGGTCGCGAGACTCGGGCGCTAATAGTGGTGTCGTTTCTCCAATGGACACCACTTCACAGCGAGGTGCCAGTACTTCTGTCGGCACGTCGCAGGAAGAGCGGGACCGCAATGTGTTGCGTCTCGCTCCAGAAAAGAAGGCATGGATGCCTCCTAAATCTGTCATGGATCACTTGTCGGCGACGACGAGTGATCGTTATCGAACACGATTGTTCGATTCGTCGAGGATTCATCACCTTGACCCCAGCGCGAAAGACTATCGCGCTGAACATGAGTTCTTCATCGATGCTTTCTTCAGACATCGATGGTACAGTGGGAATCACAAACGTGATGGTCCCTCACTACTTCAGGCGTGGAACGCCTACATCCATAATCTCGAGGATGTAGGTCGTGACGCTTGGAACGACAAACTTATCAAAGCTCGTGATAAGTTTGAAAAGCGAACCCCGACAGGTGCACGCTATAAGCTGCATCGTCTGTCAAGGGAGAAAGGATTACCCTGCCTCTCTTGGGGAGACTCGTGCCCATGTTGTGTGAACAACTCTGCACGAGCACCTAAGGAGGCTTACCTCCTTACCAGCCCGTGGTGGCGCGTACGTGTCTCTACTGAGATGTACGAAGGGATTGACAACCTGAAATCCCTTTACGACCGTGCCGGGAAGACTTTCTCCGGCGGTCCTTCTGCGGCACAGGATGTGTCGCGTCGTACTGCTCGACCAGACCCAGTACGTCAACCATCAATTGGGAGCGGGGCTCCCAAGAATCCCAGGACGGGGGATAGCCGCGCCACCGGACGAGGTAACTCGTCCGACGTCCGTTCACGTCGCGGTGGTTCAACAGCTGCTCAACTAGATAGCGCTGGCCACCGCGAGAGTCCTCTAATGGAGGTGGAGGAGGAGGAAAGACGCTCTCCACACGATCATGTGGATCGGTGTGTTCCCGAGAGCTTCTTTGATCGCGTAACGCAAGGGTTACGCGACGATCTCGAGCATGAGCGGAATAGGCGTCTCCAGATGGTGGACACTGCCTCGAAGCATCGAGCTGAGTTTGCCTTTGCTCAGCTTGAGAACGAGAGATCTCTGACATCTCTTCGTGACGAGCTAAGGGTAGCTCGTGGGATTGTTGATCGGTCTCGGGCTGAGATAACTGCTCTTCAGACCCTTGTTGATGCCCACCATCGGGAGCACAAGGCTCTCTGCGAGATGCTTGAGCGCAAGGGCGTTCTTCATCGGAAGAAGCAGCGTACTGATGGTACGGCTTAAGCCGAACAACGTAAAACGTGGGATGCGCTCGCATCTTACGTGGTAACTCGATCGTGTATGCATTGCCTAGGCGGTGCAATACACGAAATGGGCCAATGTACTTGGGTAGTAGTTTACTGCTACCCAAGTTAGTCACTACATGCTTTGGTAGATTAACCGTAGACAGTAGGACTAAGTCACCTTTACTAAATAAAAGAGTGTTTGCCCTTCCATTCTTGTCAGCGTTTTGCTTTTGCTTATCCACCGCTTCGGCGATGGAGTCTTGCACAAAACGGACTACCGTTTCACGAGCCAGTATGAACTCATCTGATGACTCGTTAGCTTCAGTGTGCTGTGAGCGCACTGCAGCAACAACAACCTTTTCTTCAGCGAGGGCTTCCGCACTCTCACTGGGATCATTGTCTTCAGTGAGGGCTTCCGCACTCTCACTGGCATCATCTTCTTCGATATCGATGTTATCGATATCGGCATCAAACGCAATGACTTCTTCGTCAGAGCGTGATGAGCGTGAACCAAATCGGTTTTTGCTCGCGCGAGTCCCTCCCCCCCTTAAACCAGAGTTACACTCTAGTAAGGTGGGTACACGCGGATGGCGCAAGCCATTCACGTAAAACGGTGTATGCGTCGTGGACGCATGCACCGAGTTGTTGATGGCAAACTCTACCATTGGCAAAAACTCACTCCAACTTTTAAAGGAGTGTACGTATCCTCGAAGTATCTCTTCGAGGACACGGTTGGCACGTTCCGTCTGACCATCTGACTCTGGATGATCAGATGTTGACATCTTCAAGCGCGTTCCGAGTGATTTGAACACGGAACGCCAGAAATCAGCAGTGAATCGTGGATCTCTGTCTGATACGAGTTCACGGGGCAACCCATGAAGTCGGAAGATGGTGTCAATAAAGACACAAGCACAGCCACTTGCCGTGATTGTCTCTGGTACAGCCACAAAGTGTACCATTTTGCTGAATCTGTCAACAAATACGAGAATACCCGTATTCCCGCGTGCGTCTTTGGGTAACCCGAAGACGAAATCCATTGAGATGGATTCCCAGCACTCAGCCGGAACCGGTAGAGGCTGTAAAGGTGCACGCAGTGAAGGACTTGACTTCACTCGTTGGCAGACTTCGCATGCGCGAACATACTTTCGCACAAACTGATACTGGCGGGGCCAGTAAAAGTCTCGACTTACCGTGAGATATGTTTTCTCTCGGCCACGATGTCCTCCTATAGGAGCATCGTGATACTCGAACATGATCCGCAAACGCAGATCAGTATCATCTGGAATGACAACACGTGGTGTGTCACCAGAAACGGCTGTATAGTACAGTAAACCGTTACGAGTAGTGTATCGATCTGATGCAGATCGATACGCGAGACGACAATCGTTTCAACGATTCTCGAGATGGGTTGGGAGAGATGTGACAACAACTTCACTATCTCACCATCTTGGGCGTATGCCCGCCTCACATCATCATACAACGTTGTAGATGGAACTGAGGACGTCATAACCGCAACAGTGACTGTCTCACTGTTGGGTTTCGCGACTGTTTCAAAGTCGGGACGACGTGAGAGTGCATCAGCGACGACATTAAGTCGTCCTGGTTTGTACTCGACCGTAAAGTTGTATTCTGCAAAGAATGACAACCACCGCGCCATTCGTTGTGAAAGGTGCGGGCTGTTCACTGCCGTGCGTAAGGACGCATGGTCAGTGTAAACAACGAAGGGTCTATCTCCTAATAGATAGACTCTGAACTTCGCGAGTGCATACTTCATGGCAAGGAGTTCCTTGTCATGCACTGGATAGTTCCGCTCAGCTGGTTGCAGCTGACGCGACTGATAGCAGACGACGCGTTCAACGCCTTCAAGGTCGTACTGCATTAATGCACAGCCGATTGCGAAATCGCTGGCATCACAGACCACATGAAATGGCCTGTCCTGATCGGCTATTGCTAGGACTGGGGATTGTATCAAGCTCTGCTTGATACCCTCAAAGGAGCGTTGACATTCAGCGTTCCATAACCACCTCTCGTTCTTTTCAACAAACGAGAGAGGTGTACAGTCATCTCGGCGTAATTGCGTGAATACTTATGCAAATACGCCGCTAGCCCAAGGAATTTTCGAAGACCTTTGACATCGACCGGCACGGGCCAGTCGGTGATCGCCTTGATCTTTTCGGGATCAGGACGTACACCGTTCTTACCAACGATGCACCCAAGAAGTGGTATTTCGCTTGCTGCAAATATACACTTCTTGAGGTTTGCATACAATTGATGCTTTCGCATGATTGTAAGAACTTGTCGGACGTGGTACTTGTGAACCTCAACGTCCGACTTTCCATCCATAGCTCGACTATGGATGAATACGTCATCGAAATAACTCGGCGCGAATTCTCGTACTGGCCTCAACAGATGTGATACACACCTGTTGAACGTGGCAGGGGCATTACTGAGCCCTTGTGGCATTACTAGCCATTCCCAGAGCATGCCGCTAGGCGTGCTAACTGCGGTATAGGGTATATCCCGTTCCCGCATTAGGATTTGATAGAAGCCATCCATCAAATCCATGGACGAAAAGATGGTACTCTTTGACATACCATCAATAATTACGTCCTTCCTCGGTATCGGCGTCTGAGCCGGTACCGTTGCAGCGTTCAATTTGTTAAACGCGTGCACTATCCGCCACCCTCCTGTTGCTTTTCGCACACAGAAGGTCGGAGAGCTATGTGGGGAAGTTGATTCCCTCACATGGCCCGCTGCTAAACGATCGGCAAATAACTTGTCGATCGCAAGTACTTGTTCACGAGGCAGTGGCCACTGCTTCATGACACAGTACTTCGAGCCTGGTTTAAGCTCGACTTCGTGTCGAATACCTTTATCCTTCGGTAATTCGCACGGAACAGTTTCAGGGAATACATCCTTGAATTCAACCAAATCTTCATAGAGAGGATTTTCCTTGAGCGATTCCCATGATTGGGACTCATATCGCTCAATTCGTGTCTTTTCATCTAGGACACTCTCGTCCATAGATGAACTACTGAGAACTCTCTCGTTCTCAGTAAACACTGTTGCTGACCTTATGTCGGTTACATACTCGTCTTCAGCGACGAGTATGCAGATCTGCTTGACTTTGCCACTACGCAGATCACGCAAGAATCTTTTATGTTCGAGCGTTGGCAACTGAGTGATCTCCGAAGTTAACTTCGGAGGCGCAATCAGATCAAGTGTATAAGCGCCTACACATGATCCGTTATTGACTATGACATTCAATGTCTCTGTCATTTCCTGGGGACTTATTCCCTCAGGCTTCGAAGGACTTATTCCTTCGTCTTCCCGGGGACTTATTCCCGCGGGTTTCGGGGAACTTATTTCCGCCGTATTTGTAATCTTGGGACTTATTCCCTTTACTTCCTCTAGCTGGGGTTGCGCAACCACAGCGAGATCCTCTACGAAAGACTCTCCAGTCGATCTAGGATTATCGTTTCGCTTAACCTGAGCGATCGATTGTTTCTCTTCTAGATGTTCCCCTCTAGGGATACATCTTTGTCCCAGTCCACCCGACTTATTCGAGTGGTGGACCTTCGGCGCAGCCTGTGTTTCCTCACAGCCGCCGGAACTTTGCTCCGAAGTGTAACCGTTTGGTACACTAAGGTTTTGTGCAGTCGTACTAACGACCGTACCACAAGTGAGGCCATCGCACTCACTCGTAGTACATCCACACGCTTGTGGACGCTCCAAAACGTTCATCAGATGGCCATCTGATGAACAAGCGGCAGGCATCGTTACTGTCCGATGTTGCCAGTTTACCCGTGGTTCGTACCTTCTGAGCCACGGTATTCCAAGGATGACATCAAATTTGTCATCCAAATCCAATACGATAAAGTCATCGTCGTATTGGGTATCTTCTAGCGTATAGTGAATCTTCACTATACGCTTCATGACGGTTACGGATGCGCCTGTCGCAAGACGTACCGTCATCCTCGTAGGAGGTGTGTCACATTCACTGAATTTAAAGTGACCATCTTCTAGCGATTGGCGTCGCACAAAATTGTTGGACGCCCCACAATCGACTAGAGCTCGAAGGGACAACTTATTCGTCACTTCGAGTTTCAAGGTAATGAGTGAGATCTCATTACCTAGAGCAGCAACGCACAATGTCTGTGTGTTGGGAGCAACCTTCATCAAGAGGCCTACAAATTCTCTTGACGTTGCTGGATCAGTAGGGTGCTCCGCACCTACTGATCCTGTCCGTTTTTTGACGGTCCATCCCGTTGTTGCGTCTTTGCACCAACTGCGGACCCTCGTCCCTGCCCCTTTCTCATGGGTGGACGGTCACTACGCCCAGTGTCGCGAGACACTGGACGAGGGGCACTACACTCGTAAGCGTAGTGTCCTGTCTTTTGACATCTGTTGCATCTCTGCAACTTCTTGTAGCCTGTAGAGCGAGCCTTCTCGCTCTCTACATAACAGAGTTCCATCGGCTCTGGACCTCCGTTGTCATATCGTCTCGGTTGACGATATGATGTCGAGCTGGCGCGAGCCTGTCTCAGACTGAAGTCTTCCTGCTCCGCAATGGAAATGGCTTGTTCTAGTGAATCTAGTTCAAGCCGGAACAGGTGAGTCTTGACGGGACCATCCGCAAGACCCTGCATGAACACCGAAACCAACGTGTGTTCATCCACCGGATTGGAACTTATACAACTCGTGAGATGTCGTATATGTTGAGCGTAAGCGTGCACATCACGCTTACCCTGCTTGAGCTTCAAGAGTTCGGTTCGAGCTCTGAACTCAGCTCTAGGCGGTTCAAACGTTTGTCTGAGCCGCGACTTGAAGACTTCCAACGACCCAAACGCATATGGGTCGTGCAGCTTGAGCCCCAGTGCCCAAGTCTTGGCACGTCCTGCCAGATTTGACTGGGCAAATGCAACTTGCATATCCCCGTCGTCGATGCGACGCGCCCTTATGGCGTCATCCAATTCGACGAACCATCTCAAGAGGGAGTCTTCTTCGACCCCCTATACTTTGAGATGTCAATCTTCAAAGTCTCGGGCCGACGCGAGTGCATCGACCCGCCAGCAGCAGCCTGCTGCTGTCTCAACAGTTCAAACTGTTGAGCACCTTGTTCTCTCAACAACTCTGCTTGTTGAGAACCTTGTTGGTGAAGCAAGGCTACTTTCTCGCGTTCTGCGTCAAGTTCATTTTGAATGAACTTGGCGATAGTAGCATGTTGGGCATCTCTATTGAGAGCCTCTAGCATGACGCTAACAGCATGGATGCCCATGGTCGAACCCATTCGTTCAACCGCATCCCATTCGACATCGCTCAAATGGGAGTAGCCGTCACGCGTAGCGTGAAAGCTTTGGTCATCTTCATCATCCAACATATTCATGTTGGATGTGAACGCGGTCCTTGGACGGACTACGAAGTGCTACCAGGTGTAACGGGGCACCCTGAAGCTTGTACTGGTGACAGTACAAGCTACTTATTCTGATAACAGAATAAGGCGGTGCCTCGTAACTTCACGTACACTCGTACGTGCAGAGGAAGACGGTAAGAAGAAGCGAGTACTCGGTTAGAGTAAAAAGTAGAACTGTATTTATAATAGTTAATGTCTGCAATAAATCACTATTTATCTTCATCTAACTATGTCTAAATACAAATGTGTAAATCAGTTATCTGCTCACCACTCATTGCGTGCGTCTGTCGTGGCGCGTCTTCGTTGGTTGATATAATGGCCTATATCAACCAATTAGGAACTACTTGGAAGTGCTACAGAATATTGTCCTTATGACAATATTCTGAGAATATAACTCTTATAGTTATATTCTATTAACAATTTCTTATAAATTGTTATGTAACGATTCACCCCGTTACAAAACTGATTGAGCACTGGACCGGGGAACGCGCGTCCCGCGAGCGGACCCAACAATTCTTGGTCGCCTGCGCCAGTCGCCAGGCCCACACGATACAGTCACACCGGATGAAAATCTTAAACGACCGATTTCAAGACGACGTAGCTGCGGCCATCCGCGTATGGAAAGAAATATGGCACATCCTGGCGACGATGTGTCAGACAAGGATATGGACAGACCGGAATGCGGCGGTCTTCCGAGCAGAGTCTATCGATATTACTAGGGGTACCGAAAATTTCTGGGCCTCGTGCATCCGCCAGCTTCGAGCTATAGCGCAGAGGCGGCATCGAAAAGTAGCAACAGCAATTACCGGGGCAGTGCTTTATGCATGCATCGAGTTATTGGAAACCGAACCAAGAGGGTTGCCAGTGGTCACTGGCACCAGCGACGAAGAGCCCCCGGGTACCCCGGCGCTTACGTCCTGGCTTAGTTCATACCAGAGATCTTGCACGTAGTTTAAGCTAAGTAAATAGACACTCTGAAACTCTCTCTCTCTCATAAGAGTCGGCGTGGTCGTTTGTTGGGATGACGCATCCCCAGGCCCCCGTGTGAATGACCTCACAGACGGTGTCGACTGACAGCTCGCAGTAGTCGCCGACACTGTCGCGAGTGACATTCGAGTCACAGTCGGCGATCGCCACATCACCTTTGACAGGGCACGAGGATCCGGCAGGCGACGAGCCTTCGCCGCTGCAGACGGGCCCGTCGATGCAGTAGGTGGCGTCACGCTCGACGCTGATTGGCCAGCAGCCGAGGTCCTCGTCGTACTTGGGGGTACCAGCTGATGCTGGCAAGGCCGCAGAAAGACTAAAGATCGAGAAAACCAAGACTTTCATGGTTGCTGTTGGACGGTTGAATGCTGCTGAGCGAGGACTCGAGCTGTCGAGTGGTGGAGGTGGAGGTGGTGGTGACTCGCCTTTGCTGCAAATTGCAGAATGAAATGAGCGGAGCGTCTGTTTCTTCTTCTCCTTGTAGCTAGCAGCCCGTGGTGCTGTCGAGATGCAGGAGACAACTCTAGAACAAAGGAGGATGGTGCGAATCTGGACCAAAGACCGACCAGTGCAGCGAGGTGTTGCCCCCGATGGTTCTACCGCACGCGTGTGAGTCAAAGTTGCCTCTTTTGTTCTGGCCAAGTTGCCGTGAAACATTGTTTGGTGGTTGTGGTGCACCATATTGTCGTGAGAAGGTCGAGACGAGTGTTTCAGTATGTTGCAGCAGCAGCTTTCAGGATACGAATGAATGACTCGGGTTTTGTGACGAAAATCGAATCGAACGATAAATTCCACCATATGGCGACGAACGGTCTTGTAGGTGGCAGTCAGAAATGCAACGATTGCTACTGCGACCGTTCTCGACGTCGCCAGACGCAGAGCAACTGGTAAACTGTGAATCACCAAAGTTTCGTTGCTCTCTGCCCTCTCTCTTTCTCTGGCGCGCGCCTTCGTGCTTGCTTGTTGTTTCATTGGCATCGACGTGTTGGCGGCACTACAAACGAGACGCCGGAACTGAATATGTACTCATTGACGCGGAACCTCATGGAGGCAACCGTTGACGCAGAACCTCACCAAGGCACGCCACTATTTGGATGGCAAAGTCTCCAATGGGTCAAACAATTCATCGTAGTAGATGGAAATGTGATACACAACACCCAAAAAGCCTGAATCAACTCTGATTTTCGCCTTCTGTCACCTGCATATGACAGCCGCTATCCATACGAGGCATGCATTTGTTGCCGGGCACCAGTCGCTAAGATTCATAGCGATCAGCGACTTCGATGCCCGGATGTTTCTTTCAAACCTTTTTTTAGGCGTGAAGCAGAATCATCCCTTGATTGGGTAGCTCGCACGGCGTGGCAACCAAAGGTAGTCGTGCTACTACGTAACAGGCAGGCCAATGCATTTACTTTGCTGTTTTCCCTTGAAGTACTTCTGCTTTAGCTGTAGGTGCTTCAGCCAGTCGGATTGCAGCGTTGAAAACCCAATTTAGCAAGCTGCCAAGTGCTTGTCCTCTTTTAAACTTTCGTGATTACTTGGAGAAGATCATAGCAGAGGGTTATTTCATTCAACCGGTCATGTTCCTCGTAGTCTTATGTGCGATCTGATGACATAGCATGTCGAGGGTTATGCAAATCGCATCGACGCTGACACCATTTTGCAAGCTCAGCTTTACGTCCGGTTAGGTGTCCTCCATTCAGTCTTAACCTTTGGTAGGGTATCGAACGGGGCGTCTACCGATCGCTGGTAAGTGTCAGGTTTTGAGCGATCTGAGTAATCCCTAACCCTCTTTCGAGTTACTTCAGAACAGAAACAGAGAAATGTAGATACCTATCGAGTTACACCAGCCACAGAGTGCCAAGTGCTTTTAGTATCACCAAGTGGAGTGACTGGGTAAGTTGCATCCGACCATCACGTCCTGCAATAGTAGTAGACGTTAGTCCATCCCAGACGACTGAGCACAAAGCATTAAACTATGCTGCGCTCCTTTGATCGACCGTGCGCATGACCTTAGCATGTGTTCGATAACCAACGTCCATTCGGATGGAAAGTGCTACCCGAGGGCTCATGAAGAACGAATGAATGACAACGCCAAACATTTGGTCCAGTTTTGCTAATGGTAGAAAGCGTGCCACCCTTGAGTTCTCGGTATCGTATGATAGCGTTTGGGGGGCAGCTATCACGTTTGCATGAAGGGCGGAAAGATCCGCCACTTCTTCCGATATCAGTCGATACGGTCATCAACGAGTAATTGGTCAACTGATCGCAGGGACAACAGCTCTCTTGCCCTGTTTCTACCAACAGCTATACGAATGTGTCTGTCCTCATCGACCTACTGCGTCCCGACAGTTTCGTAGTCGGAAGCTTGTCGAAAAATGAGTTGGAATACATGTTGATGGAAAGGTATCCGTTTATGCCTTGGATATAGGGACCGTCGTTGTAGCTACCACTTTTCGTAGCTACCGCTGTTGTGGTGGTCACCGTTGTAGCTACCTTCTCCATAGCCACCGCTCTTGTGGTGGTCGCTGGTGTGGTGGCCACCTTCGTATCTGTCGCTGTTGTTGTTCTTGTCGTCATCGTCGTTCTTGTCGTTGTTGTTGTTCTTGTGATCGTCGTTCTTGGCCTTGTTGTCGTTCTCGCCGTCGTAATTGGTGTACTCGTTCTCTCCGTAGCTGTTGCTGTTGTGGTTGTTGCTGTTGTGGTGGTGGTCGCTCATGTGGTCCCCGCTGTTGTACTTACCCTCTCCATAGCTGTCGCTGTTTTGTCGATCGCTCATGTGGTCCCCGCTGTTGTACTTACCCTCTCCATAGCTGTCGCTGTTTTGTCGATCGCTCATGTGGTGGCCGTTGCTGTGGTTGTCATCACCTTCGTAGCTGCCGCGGATGTAGCTGCCACTGTCGCTGTTATAGTAGGACGAGTCTTGGTTCTGACTACCGTAGTGGGAGTCATCGCCATGGTGGGAGTGTCGGTCTTTGGAGTTACCGTAGTGGGAGTTACGGTGGTGATGGGCACCGCGGTGCGAGTTACGGTGATGCGAGTTACGGTCGTGCGAGTTACGGTCGCGCGAGTTACGGTGGTGCGGACGGTTATGTTTAGAAGAGTCGGCGTGGTCGTTTGTTGAGATGACGCATCCCCAGGCCCCCGTGTGAATGACCTCACAGACGGTGTCGACTGACAGCTCGCAGTAGTCGCCGACACTGTCGCGAGTGACATTCGAGTCACAGTCGGCGATCGCCACATCACCTTTGACAGGGCACGAGGATCCGGCAGGCGACGAGCCCTCGCCGCTGCAGACGGGCCCGTCGATGCAGTAGGTGGCGTCACGCTCGACGCTGATTGGCCAGCAGCCGAGGTCCTCGTCGTACTTGGGGGTACCAGCTGATGCTGGCAAGGCCGCAGAAAGACTAAAGATCGAGAAAACCAAGACTTTCATGGTTGCTGTTGGACGGTTGAATGCGCTGAGCGAGGACTCGAGCTGTCGAGTGGTGGAGGTGGAGGTGGTGGTGACTCGCCTTTGCTGCAAGTTGCAGAATGAATTGAACGGAGCGTCTGTTTCTTCTTCTCCTTGTAGCTAGCAGCCCGTGGTGCTGTCGAGATGCAGGAGGCAACTCCAGAACGAAGGTCGATGGTGCGGATCTGGACCAAAGACTGACCAGTGCAGCGAGGTGTTGCCCCCGATGGTTCTACCGCACGTGTGAGTCAAAGTTGTCTCTTTTGTTCTGGCCAAGTTGCCGTGAAACATTGTTTGGTGGTTGTGGTGCACCATATTGTCGTGAGAAGGTCGAGACGAGTGTTTCAGTATGTTGCAGCAGCAGCTTTCAGGATACGAATGAATGACTCGGGTTTTGTGACGAAAATCGAATCGAACGATAAATTCCACCATATGGCGACGAACGGTCTTGTAGGTGGCAGTCAGAAATGCAACGATTGCTACTGCGACCGTTCTCGACGTCGCCAGACGCAGAGCAACTGGTAAACTGTGAATCACCAAAGTTTCGTTGCTCTCTGCCCTCTCTCTTTCTCTGGCGCGCGCCTTCGTGCTTGCTTGTTGTTTCATTGGCATCGACGTGTTGGCGGCACTACAAACGAGACGCCGGAACTGAATATGTACTCATTGACGCGGAACCTCATGGAGGCAACCGTTGACGCAGAACCTCATCAAGGCACGCCACTATTTGGATGGCAAAGTCTCCAATGGGTCAAACAATTCATCGTAGTAGATGGAAATGTGATACACAACACCCAAAAAGCCTGAATCAACTCTGATTTTCGCCTTCTGTCACCTGCATATGACAGCCGCTATCCATACGAGGCATGCATTTGTTGCCGGGCACCAGTCGCTAAGATTCATAGCGATCAGCGACTTCGATGCCCGGATGTTTCTTTCAAACCTTTTTTTAGGCGTGAAGCAGAATCATCCCTTGATTGGGTAGCTCGCACGGCGTGGCAACCGAAGATCGTCGTACTACTACGTAACAGGCAGGCCAATGCATTTACTTTGCTGTCTTCCCTTGAAGTACTTCTGCTTTAGCTGTAGGTGCTTCAGCCAGTCGGATTGCAGCGTTGAAAACCCAATTTAGCAAGCTGCCAAGTGCTTGTCCTCTTTTAAACTTTCGTGATTACTTGGAGAAGATCATAGCAGAGGGTTATTTCATTCAACCGGTCATGTTCCTCGTAGTCTTATGTGCGATCTGATGACATAGCATGTCGAGGGTTATGCAAATCGCATCGACGCTGACACCATTTTGCAAGCTCAGCTTTACGTCCGGTTAGGTGTCCTCCATTCAGTCTTAACCCCTGGTAGGGTATCGAACGGGGCGTCTACCGATCGCTGGTAAGTGTCAGGTTTTGAGCGATCTGAGTAATCCCTAACCCTCTTTCGAGTTACTTCAGAACAGAAACAGAGAAATGTAGATACCTATCGAGTTACACCAGCCACAGAGTGCCAAGTGCTTTTAGTATCACCAAGTGGAGTGACTGGGTAAGTTGCATCCGACCATCACGTCCTGCAATAGTAGTAGACGTTAGTCCATCCCAGACGACTGAGCACAAAGCATTAAACTATGCTGCGCTCCTTTGATCGACCGTGCGCATGACCTTAGCATGTGTTCGATAACCAACGTCCATTCGGATGGAAAGTGCTACCCGAGGGCTCATGAAGAACGAATGAATGACAACGCCAAACATTTGGTCCAGTTTTGCTAATGGTAGAAAGCGTGCCACCCTTGAGTTCTCGGTATCGTATGATAGCGTTTGGGGGGCAGCTATCACGTTTGCATGAAGGGCGGAAAGATCCGCCACTTCTTCCGATATCAGTCGATACGGTCATCAACGAGTAATTGGTCAACTGATCGCAGGGACAACAGCTCTCTTGCCCTGTTTCTACCAACAGCTATACGAATGTGTCTGTCCTCATCGACCTACTGCGTCCCGACAGTTTCGTAGTCGGAAGCTTGTCGAAAAATGAGTTGGAATACATGTTGATGGAAAGGTATCTATTTATGCCTTGGTTAAAGGTACCGTTGTTGTAGCTACCACTTTTCGTAGCTACCGCTGTTGTGGTGGTTGCCTTTGTAGCGACCCTCTCCATAGCCACCGCTCTTGTGGTGGTCGCTGGTGTGGTGGCCACCTTCGTATCTGTCGCTGTTGTTGTTCTTGTCGTCATCGTCGTTCTTGTCGTTGTTGTTGTTCTTGTGATCGTCGTTCTTGGCCTTGTTGTCGTTCTCGCCGTCGTAATTGGTGTACTCGTTCTCTCCGTAGCTGTTGCTGTTGTGGTTGTTGCTGTTGTGGTGGTGGTCGCTCATGTGGTCCCCGCTGTTGTACTTACCCTCTCCATAGCTGTCGCTGTTTTGTCGATCGCTCATGTGGTCCCCGCTGTTGTACTTACCCTCTCCATAGCTGTCGCTGTTTTGTCGATCGCTCATGTGGTGGCCGTTGCTGTGGTTGTCATCACCTTCGTAGCTGCCGCGGATGTAGCTGCCACTGTCGCTGTTATAGTAGGACGAGTCTTGGTTCTGACTACCGTAGTGGGAGTCATCGCCATGGTGGGAGTGTCGGTCTTTGGAGTTACCGTAGTGGGAGTTACGGTGGTGATGGGCACCGCGGTGCGAGTTACGGTGATGCGAGTTACGGTCGTGCGAGTTACGGTCGCGCGAGTTACGGTGGTGCGGACGGTTATGTTTAGAAGCGTCGGCGTGGTCGTTTGTTGAGATGACGCATCCCCAGGCCCCCGTGTGAATGACCTCACAGACGGTGTCGACTGACAGCTCGCAGTAGTCGCCGACACTGTCGCGAGTGACATTCGAGTCACAGTCGGCGATCGCCACATCACCTTTGACAGGGCACGAGGATCCGGCAGGCGACGAGCCTTCGCCGCTGCAGACGGGCCCGTCGATGCAGTAGGTGGCGTCACGCTCGACGCTGATTGGCCAGCAGCCGAGGTCCTCGTCGTACTTGGGGGTACCAGCTGATGCTGGCAAGGCCGCAGAAAGACTAAAGATCGAGAAAACCAAGACTTTCATGGTTGCTGTTGGACGGTTGAATGCGCTGAGCGAGGACTCGAGCTGTCGAGTGGTGGAGGTGGAGGTGGTGGTGACTCGCCTTTGCTGCAAGTTGCAGAATGAATTGAACGGAGCGTCTTCTTCTTCTTCTTCCCCTTGTAGCTAGCAGCCCGTGGTGCTGTCGAGATGCAGGAGGCAACTCCAGAACGAAGGTCGATGGTGCGGATCTGGACCAAAGACTGACCAGTGCAGCGAGGTGTTGCCCCCGATGGTTCTACCGACGCGTGTGAGTCAAAGTTGTCTCTTTTGTTCTGGCCAAGTTGCCGTGAAACATTGTTTGGTGGTTGTGATGCACCATATTGTCGTGAGAAGGTCGAGACGAGTGTTTCAGTATGTTGCAGCAGTAGCTTCAGGATACGAATGAATCTCGGGTTTTGTGACGAAAAATCAAATCGAAAGATCAATTCCACCATATGGCGACGAACGGCCTTGTAGGTGGCAGTCAGAAATGCAACGATTGCTACTGCGACCGGTCTTGACGTCGCCAGAGCGCGGTGCAACTGGGGAACTGTGAATCACCAAAGTTGCGTTTCTTTCCACTCTCTCTCTCGCTGGCGCGTGCCTGCGTGGTTGTTGTTTCATTGGTATCGACGTGTTGGCGGCACTACAAATGAGACGCCAGAACTGAATATGTACTCATTGACGCGGAACCTCATGGAGGCAAACGTTAACGCAGAACCTCATCGACGCTCGCCACCATTAGGATGGTAGAGTCTCCAATGGCTCAAACGATTCATCGTAGTAGATGGAAATGTGATATGCAACACCCGAAAAGCCTGAGTCAATTCTGATCTACGCCTTCTGTCGCCCGCACATGACAACTACTGTTCATACAAGGCATGCATTTGTTACCGGGCACCAGTCGCTAAGATTCATAGCGATCGGCGACTTCGATGCCGGAATGTTTCTTCCAAAACGTTTTTAGGCGTGAAGTAGAATCATCCCTTTATTGGGTAGCTCGCACCATGTGGCAACCAAAGATCGTCGTGCTACTACCTAACAGGCAGGCCAATGCATTTACTTTTGCCGTTTTCCCTTGAAGTACTTCTGCTTTAGCTGTAGGTGCTTCGTCCAGTCGGATTGCAGCGTTGATAACCCAATTTGGCGTGCTGCCAAATGCTTGTCCTCTTTTAAACTCTTGCGATTACTCGGACAAGGTCATAGGAGAGGGTTATTTCATTAGGCTGGTCATGTTCCTCGTAGTCTTATGTGCGATCTGATGACATAGCATGTCGAGGGTTATGCAAATCGCATCGACGCTGACACCATTTTGCAAGCACAGCTCTACATCTGATTAGGTGTCCTCCATTCAGTCTTAACCTCTGGTAGGGTATCGAACGGGACGTCTACCGATCGCTGGTAAGTGTTAGGTTTAGAGCAATCTGAGTAATTTCTAACCCTCTTTCGAGTTACTTCAGAACAGAAATACAGAGAAATGTACATGCTCATCGAGTTGCACCAGCCACAGAGTGCCAAGTGCTTTTAGTTCCACAAAGTAGAGTGACTGGGTAAGTTGCATCCGACCATCAGGTCATGCGATAGTAGCAGACGTTAGTCCATCCCAGACGACCGAGCAGAAAGCATTGATCTATGCTGCGCTCGTTTGATCGACCGTGCGCATTACCTTAGCATGTGTTCGATAACCAGCGTCCATCTTGATGGAGAGTGCTACCCGAGGGCTCATGAACAACGAATGGATGACAACGCCAACCATTTGGTCCTGTTTTGCTGATGGTAGAAAGCGTGCCACCCTTGAGTTCTCGTTATCGTATGATAGCGTTTGGGGAGCAGCTACCACGTTTGCATGACGGTCGGAACGGTCCGCCACTTCCTTTCAGTATCAGTCGATGCGGCCATCACCGAGTAATCGGTCAACTGCTGGCAGGGACAACAGCTCTCTTGCCCTGTTTCTACCAACAGCTATACGAATGTGTCTGTCCTCATCGACCTACTGCGTCCCGACAGTTTCGTACTCGGAAGCTTGGCAAAAAAAGGAGTTGGAAGACATTTTGATGGAAAGGTATCCGTTTACGCCTTGGTTAAAGGTACCGTTGTTGTAGCTACCACTTTTCGTAGCTACCGCTGTTGTGGTGGTCGCCGTTGTAGCGACCCTCTCCATATCCACCTCTCTCGTGGTGGTTGCTGGTGTGCTCTCCGTTACTGTGGTTGTCACCGTTGTTGTTGTTGTCCATGTTGCCGTCGTTGTAGCTGCCATCCTCGTAGCTTCCGCTGTTGCGGTGACCGTAGTTGTGGTTGCGGTGACCGTGGTTGTACTTGTGGTAGTTGCCGCTCTTGTGATGGTCGTTACCGTAATTACTGCTGTCGTGGTTGTCATCTCCATAGCTGCCACTCATTTGGTTATTGTTGTCGTCGTTGTTGTTGTTGTTGTTGTTGTCATCTCCGTAGCCACCGCTCTTGTGGTAATCGCTGGTGTGGTGGCCACCTTCGTATCTGTCGCTGTTGTTGTCCTCATTGCCGTCGTCGTTCTTGTCGTTGTTGTTGTTCATGTCATCGTTGGTGTTGTCATTCTTGCCGTTGTAATTGGTGGACTCGTTCTCTCCGTAGCTGTTGCTGTTGTGGTTGTTGCTGTTGTGGTGGTGGTCGCTCATGTGGTCCCCGCTGTTGTACTTACCCTCTCCATAGCTGTCGCTGTTTTGTCGATCGCTCATGTGGTCCCCGCTGTTGTACTTACCCTCTCCATAGCTGTCGCTGTTTTGTCGATCGCTCATGTGGTGGCCGTTGCTGTGGTCGTCATCACCTTCGTAGCTGCCGCGGATGTAGCTACCACTGTCGCTGTTATAGTAGGACGAATCTTGGTTCTGACTACCGTAGTGGGAGTCATCGCCATGGTGGGAGTGTCGGTTTTTGGAGTTACCGTCGAGGGAGTTACGGTGGTGATGGGCACCGCGGTGCGAGTTACGGTGATGCGAGTTACGGTGATGCGAGTTACGGTGGTGCGGACGGTTGTGTTCATAAGAGTCGGCGTCACTCTTCTATTTGCGACGCAGTGATCTTATCGGATCACAGAGGAGTTTAAACCCGTTTTTATTGGCTCACAGCGAGCGGCGTCCAGGCGCTATGCAGCCCCTAGATCTCCCCCCGGGAGGTGGGGATGACCCGGGAGGGGCATCTACCCTACCCGAGGAGCCTACTGTGCCTCGTCCAGGTACAGTCTGCGCGTCGACGGATAGCGACGAGAGTCGAATGACTCAGCCGGTGGAAGCGGCAAGGCCGGGCGCCAGCATATCGGCCTTACCACCGCTTCCAGGGGCCATCCAGGAGGATTCACAGGGACCGACGGCTGATGACGACCACCCCATGCTCGGTGACGAAGGCATGCCGATTGGATGCCTTAGCACAGCCGGTCCACTTGAGTCGGCTTTTCCCCTTCAACGCGAGCCTAGCGCTTCGGCGGTTAAAGGAGTAAACTCTCAGGACGGCAGTGACAGGTCCAACGGGACAGCGCCACCGGCAGCTCCTGAGCCCGACCCCACGGACGGCCAGTCGCCCTCCCCTCCTCCGCGACAGGCCCCCATCCGGCAGGTTTCGTCAGAGGCCATGTTTTCTGCTTTGGTTGGGGACATGAAGGAATCACCGAATGTCGGACACGTCGAGGCCTGGATCCAAACGATCAGGCAGCTTTTCGCGGAGGCCTACGCGACAGTCCCAGTTCTTTCCGAGGAGCTGCCGGCGGATAGAAAACGTTTCCCGACTTTGAGTGAAGCCGAAGCGTCCAGTCTACTAGGCTTTTTTGAACAAGCGTTTGTCAACACCACGGGACGCTTTGAGGAATGAAAAAAACTAGCGTCGACCATTACGCGGGAGCTTTTTACCACTAAGTGGGCTTTCCGAGAGATAGTACGCAGACTTGCGAGCCAGCATAAGTGGGCGCACGCGCCAGTGCTCCATCAATGGGCGGCTGTTGTTCGCACAGGCCTGACTCCATCAGCGGCTCCACCGCCGCCACGAAAAGCGAAATATGAGGAATTCATGTTTAATCCCGCTAAGTTTTCCGGGGTGGAGATCGCGCGGCTCCGAGCTGTATGTGCGTCGCCGCAGGCACCGGCAGGACAACACCAAGTCCGTAAGGGAACAGACGATGAATGGAAGATTGTCTTGGGTTTAATCGAGGGCACCATAGCATGCCGCAACATGCCGGCTTTTCTTCCGCACATCCTCCGAAGTGAGGAATGCCTCAGACTAGTTTCTACGATTCAGGCTCAGGTAGAAGACGAATTGATTATGCAATTGGGGCGCTCTGGGGGTGTCCGGGTTACCCGACAGAGTACGAAAGCTATCACCGAGCGGATCCTGGAATCGGCGGAGCTGGCGCGAGTAAACTTACCTGCGCTACACAACATGCTAGGCCAGACGAAGACGATCAGCTACGATCAAGTAACGAAGTCGATTCACTTCTATTTCTTTACCAGAGAAACTGCCGAGAAGCACAAGGAGGTGCGGGTGCCTTTTTCGGGAGGAGTATACCGGCTCCTGAATGCCCACCGAGCAGCGGCCGGCCCGATATGGGACCGACAGCGGGGGCTTAATGGACAACCACAAGGCCGGCGAGTGGAATACACGATTCTGCTTCTCAATGTAACTCGGTTTGTCGACATAGGCCGGATTGCAGCTTTTTTGAAGGAGAAGATTTTGACGGAATTCGTGATGGAGGACCTGGACACGCATACCCCCGATTCCAGGACATCGACAATATGGAGGGTAACCTTCAAACTAGCGGGCTGTCCGACTTTCCTCGACGGCATTGTTCGGTTGTTATGGTTCGGGACGACCATAATTGTTAAGCCTCCGAATGTCGGCAGGCGGCTGCTGTAACGGGGCACCCTGAAGCTTGTACTGGTGACAGTACAAGCTACTTATTCTGATAACAGAATAAGGCGGTGCCTCGTAACTTCACGTACACTCGTACGTGCAGAGGAAGACGGTAAGAAGAAGCGAGTACTCGGTTAGAGTAAAAAGTAGAACTGTATTTATAATAGTTAATGTCTGCAATAAATCACTATTTATCTTCATCTAACTATGTCTAAATACAAATGTGTAAATCAGTTATCTGCTCACCACTCATTGCGTGCGTCTGTCGTGGCGCGTCTTCGTTGGTTGATATAATGGCCTATATCAACCAATTAGGGACTACTTGAAGTGCTACAGAATATTGTCCTTATGACAATATTCTGAGAATATAACTCTTATAGTTATATTCTATTAACAATTTCTTATAAATTGTTATGTAACGATTCACCCCGTTACATCACCCCCCTTAACCATCAGTCACTTTAGTGACTGATTGACTAAATGGATACTCGTCCCAAATCATTTGGGACGGGGTTTGCACTTGTTGGTCCGCGTCCACTTTCCAACATCTCATCGCATGGTAAACAAGCCCATGCGATGCGCGAGCAAGGCCGCCGAGAGCGCGTCTGCACGTATCTGTGCGGACGCCGAAGCAGAAACTACAGCAACTGATATCCCATCGGTTGCTGAATCGACTCAGCCTGTATCACCTGGTGATGCAGGCGCTGGTCATGAAGACACTCGTGTCTTCACAGAGTACGAGCTCGGTGTCTCGTACTCTCCTGATACGGATGACGGATCCGTATCGACGGCAAATTGAATCCAAGCCGCCTGCCAAGCGTGGCATGGACGATGCTTTGCGTCGCAGCATCTTTGGTTCATCTGATGAGTCAGATGAACCATCGCCGAAGCGAAGGCGCTCGAGGTCGCGAGACTCGGGCGCTAATAGTGGTGTCGTTTCTCCAATGGACACCACTTCACAGCGAGGTGCCAGTACTTCTGTCGGCACGTCGCAGGAAGAGCGGGACCGCAATGTGTTGCGTCTCGCTCCAGAAAAGAAGGCATGGATGCCTCCTAAATCTGTCATGGATCACTTGTCGGCGACGACGAGTGATCGTTATCGAACACGATTGTTCGATTCGTCAAGGATTCATCACCTTGACCCCAGCGCGAAAGACTATCGCGCTGAACATGAGTTCTTCATCGATGCTTTCTTCAGACATCGATGGTACAGTGGGAATCACAAACGTGATGGTCCCTCACTACTTCAGGCGTGGAACGCCTACATCCATAATCTCGAGGATGTAGGTCGTGACGCTTGGAACGACAAACTTATCAAAGCTCGTGATAAGTTTGAAAAGCGAACCCCGACAGGTGCACGCTACAAGCTGCATCGTCTGTCAAGGGAGAAAGGATTACCCTGCCTCTCTTGGGGAGACTCGTGCCCATGTTGTGTGAACAACTCTGCACGAGCACCTAAGGAGGCTTACCTCCTTACCAGCCCGTGGTGGCGCGTACGTGTCTCTACTGAGATGTACGAAGGGATTGACAACCTGAAATCCCTTTACGACCGTGCCGGGAAGACTTTCTCCGGCGGTCCTTCTGCGGCACAGGATGTGTCGCGTCGTACTGCTCGACCAGACCCAGTACGTCAATCATCAATTGGGAGCGGGGCTCCCAAGAATCCCAGGACGGGGGATAGCCGCGCCACCGGACGAGGTAACTCGTCCGACGTCCGTTCACGTCGCGGTGGTTCAACAGCTGCTCTACTAGATAGCGCTGGCCACCGCGAGAGTCCTCTAATGGAGGTGGAGGAGGAGGAAAGACGCTCTCCACACGATCATGTGGATCGGTATGTTCCCGAGAGCTTCTTTGATCGCGTAACGCAAGGGTTACGCGACGATCTCGAGCATGAGCGGAATAGGCGTCTCCAGATGGCGGACACTGCCTTGAAGCATCGAGCTGAGTTTGCCTTTGCTCAGCTTGAGAACGAGAGATCTCTGACATCTCTTCGTGACGAGCTAAGGGTAGCTCGTGGGATTGTTGATCGGTCTCGGGCTGAGATAACTGCTCTTCAGACCCTTGTTGATGCCCACCATCGGGAGCACAAGGCTCTCTGCGAGATGCTTGAGCGCAAGGGCGTTCTTCATCGGAAGAAGCAGCGTACTGATGGTACGGCTTAAGCCGACCAACGTAAAACGTGGGATGCGTTCGCATCTTACGTGGTAACTCGATCGTGTATGCATTGCCTAGGCGGTGCAATACACGAAATGGGCCAATGTACTTGGGTAGTAGTTTACTGCTACCCAAGTTAGTCACTACATGTTTTGGTAGATTAACCGTAGACAGTAGGACTAAGTCACCTTTATTAAATAAAAGAGTGTTTGCCCTTCCATTCTTGTCAGCGTTTTGCTTTTGCTTATCCACCGCTTCGGCGATGGAGTCTTGCACAAAACGGACTACCGTTTCACGAGCCAGTATGAACTCATCTGATGACTCGTTAGCTTTAGTGTGCTGTGAGCGCACTGCAGCGACAACAACCTTTTCTTCAGTGAGGGCTTCCGCACTCTCACTGGGATCATTGTCTTCAGTGAGGGCTTCCGCACTCTCACTGGCATCATCTTCTTCGATATCGATGTTATCGATATCGGCATCAAACGCAATGACTTCTTCGTCAGAGCGTGATGAGCGTGAACCAAATCGGTTTTTGCTCGCGCGAGTCCCTCCCCCTTAAACCAGAGTTACACTCTAGTAAGGTGGGTACACGCGGATGGCGCAAGCCATTCACGTAAAACGGTGTATGTGTCGTGGACGCATGCACCGAGTTGTTGATGGCAAACTCTACCATTGGCAAAAACTCACTCCAACTTTTAAAGGAGTGTACGTATCCTCGAAGTATCTCTTCGAGGACACGGTTGGCACGTTCCGTCTGACCATCTGACTCTGGATGATCAGATGTTGACATCTTCAAGCGCGTTCCGAGTGATTTGAACACGGAACGCCAGAAATCAGCAGTGAATCGTGGATCTCTGTCTGATACGAGTTCACGGGGCAACCCATGAAGTCGGAAGATGGTGTCAATAAAGACACAAGCACAGCCACTTGCCGTGATTGTCTCTGGTACAGCCACAAGGTGTACCATTTTGCTGAATCTGTCAACAAATACGAGAATACCCGTATTCCCGCGTGCGTCTTTGGGTAACCCGAAGACGAAATCCATTGAGATGGATTCCCAGCACTCAGCCGGAACCGGTAGAGGCTGTAAAGGTGCACGCAGTGAAGGACTTGACTTCACTCGTTGGCAGACTTCGCATGCGCGAACATACTTTCGCACAAACTGATACTGGCGGGGCCAGTAAAAGTCTCGACTTACCGTGAGATATGTTTCTCCCGGCCACGATGTCCTCCTATAGGAGCATCGTGATACTCGAACATGATCCGCAAACGCAGATCAGTATCATCTGGAATGACAACACGTGGTGTGTCACCAGAAACGGCTGTATAGTACAGTAAACCGTTACGAGTAGTGTATCGATCTGATGCAGATCGATACGCAGACGACAATCGTTTCAACGATTCTCGAGATGGTTGGGAGAGATGTGACAACAACTTCACTATCTCACCATCTTGGGCGTATGCCCGCCTCACATCATCATACAACGTTGTAGATGGAACTGAGGACGTCATAACCGCAACAGTGACTGTCTCACTGTTGGGTTTCGCGACTGTTTCAAAGTCGGGACGACGTGAGAGTGCATCAGCGACGACATTAAGTCGTCCTGGTTTGTAATCGACCGTAAAGTTGTATTCTGCAAAGAATGACAACCACCGCGCCATTCGTTGTGAAAGGTGCGGGCTGTTCACTGCCGTGCGTAAGGACGCATGGTCAGTGTAAACAACGAAGGGTCTATCTCCTAATAGATAGACTCTGAACTTCGCGAGTGCATACTTCATGGCAAGGAGTTCCTTGTCATGCACTGGATAGTTCCGCTCAGCTGGTTGCAGCTGACGCGACTGATAGCAGACGACGCGTTCAACGCCTTCAAGGTCGTACTGCATTAATGCACAGCCGATTGCGAAATCGCTGGCATCACAGACCACATGAAATGGCCTGTCCTGATCGGCTATTGCTAGGACTGGGGATTGTATCAAGCTCTGCTTGATACCCTCAAAGGAGCGTTGACATTCAGCGTTCCATAACCACCTCTCGTTCTTTTTCAACAAACGAGAGAGGTGTACAGTCATCTCGGCGTAATTGCGTGAATACTTATGCAAATACGCCGCTAGCCCAAGGAATTTTCGAAGACCTTTGACATCGACCGGCACAGGCCAGTCGGTGATCGCCTTGATCTTTTCGGGATCAGGACGTACACCGTTCTTACCAACGATGCACCCAAGAAGTGGTATTTCGCTTGCTGCAAATATACACTTCTTGAGGTTTGCATACAATTGATGCTTTCGCATGATTGTAAGAACTTGTCGGACGTGGTACCTGTGAACCTCAACGTCCGACTTTCCATCCATAGCTCGACTATGGATGAATACGTCATCGAAATAACTCGGCGCGAATTCTCGTACTGGCCTCAACAGATGTGATACACACCTGTTGAACGTGGCAGGGGCATTACTGAGCCCTTGTGGCATTACTAGCCATTCCCAGAGCATGCCGCTAGGCGTGCTAACTGCGGTATAGGGTATATCCCGTTCCCGCATTAGGATTTGATAGAAGCCATCCATCAAATCCATGGACGAAAAGATGGTACTCTTTGACATACCATCAATGATTACGTCCTTCCTCGGTATCGGCGTCTGAGCCGGTACCGTTGCAGCGTTCAATTTGTTAAACGCGTGCACTATCCGCCACCCTCCTGTTGCTTTTCGCACACAGAAGGTCGGAGAGCTATGTGGGGAAGTTGATTCCCTCACATGGCCCGCTGCTAAACGATCGGCAAAGAACTTGTCGATCGCAAGTACTTGTTCACGAGGCAGTGGCCACTGCTTCATGACACAGTACTTCGAGCCTGGTTTAAGCTCGACTTCGTGTCGAATACCTTTATCCTTCGGTAATTCGCACGGAACAGTTTCAGGGAATACATCCTTGAATTCAACCAAATCCTCATAGAGAGGGTTTTCCTTGAGCGATTCCCATGATTGGGACTCATATCGCTCAATTCGTGTCTTTTCATCTAGGACACTCTCGTCCATAGATGAACTACTGAGAACTCTCTCGTTCTCAGTAAACACTGTTGCTGACCTTATGTCGGTTACACACTCGTCGTCAGCGACGAGTATGCAGATCTGCTTGACTTTGCCACTACGCAGATCACGCAAGAACCTTTTATGTTCGAGCGTTGGCAACTGAGTGATCTCCGAAGTTAACTTCGGAGGCGCAATCAGATCAAGTGTATAAGCGCCTACACATGATCCGTTATTGACTATGACATTCAATGTCTCTGTCATTTCCTGGGGACTTATTCCCTCAGGCTTCGAAGGACTTATTCCTTCGTCTTCCCGGGGACTTATTCCCGCGGGTTTCGGGGAACTTATTTCCGCCGTATTTGTTATCTTGGGACTTATTCCCTTTATTTCCTTTAGCTGGGGTTGCGCAACCACAGCGAGATCCTCTACGAAAGACTCTCCAGTCGATCTAGGATTATCGTTTCGCTTAACCTGAGCGATCGATTGTTTCTCTTCTAGATGTTCCCCGCTAGGGATACATCTTTGTCCCAGTCCACCCGACTTATTCGAGTGGTGGACCTTCGGCGCAGCCTGTGTTTCCTCACAGCCGCCGGAACTTTGCTCCGAAGTGTAACCGTTTGGTACACTAAGGTTTTGTGCAGTCGTACTAACGACCGTACCACAAGTGAGGCCATCGCACTCACTCGTAGTACATCCACACGCTTGTGGACGCTCCAAAACGTTCATCAGATGGCCATCTGATGAACAAGCGGCAGGCATCGTTACTGTCCGATGTTGCCAGTTTACCCGTGGTTCGTACCTTCTGAGCCACGGTATTCCAAGGATGACATCAAATTTGTCATCCAAATCCAATACGATAAAGTCATCGTCGTATTGGGTATCTTCTAGCGTATAGTGAATCTTCACTATACGCTTCATGACGGTTACGGATGCGCCTGTCGCAAGACGTACCGTCATCCTCGTAGGAGGTGTGTCACATTCACTGAATTTAAAGTGACCATCTTCTAGCGATTGGCGTCGCACAAAATTGTTGGACGCCCCACAATCGACTAGAGCTCGAAGGGACAACTTATTCGTCACTTCGAGTTTCAAGGTAATGAGTGAGATCTCATTACCTAGAGCAGCAACGCACAATGTCTGTGTGTTGGGAGCAACCTTCATCAAGAGGCCTACAAATTCTCTTGACGTTGCTGGATCAGTAGGGTGCTCCGCACCTACTGATCCTGTCCGTTTTTTGACGGTCCATCCCGTTGTTGCGTCTTTGCACCAACTGCGGACCCTCGTCCCTGCCCCTTTCTCATGGGTGGACGGTCACTACGCCCAGTGTCGCGAGACACTGGACGAGGGGCACTACACTCGTAAGCGTAGTGTCCTGTCTTCTGACATCTGTTGCATCTCTGCAACTTCTTGTAGCCTGTAGAGCGAACCTTCTCGCTCTCTACATCACAAAGTTCCATCGACTCTGGACCTCCGTTGTCATATCGTCTCGGTTGACGATATGATGTCGAGCTGGCGCGAGCCTGTCTCAGACTGAAGTCTTCCTGCTCCGCAATGGAAATGGCTTGTTCTAGTGAATCTAGTTCAAGCCGGAACAGGTGAGTCTTGACGGGACCATCCGCAAGACCCTGCATGAACACCGAAACCAACGTGTGTTCATCCACTGGATTGGAACTTATACAACTCGTAAGATGTCGTATATGTTGAGCGTAAGCGTGCACATCACGCTTACCCTGCTTGAGCTTCAAGAGTTCGGTTCGAGCCCTGAACTCAGCTCTAGGCGGTTCAAACGTTTGTCTGAGCCGCGACTTGAAGACTTCCAACGACCCAAACGCATATGGGTCGTGCAGCTTGAGCCCCAGTGCCCAAGTCTTGGCACGTCCTGCCAGATTTGATTGGGCAAATGCAACTTGCATATCCCCGTCGTCGATGCGACGCGCCCTTATGGCGTCATCCAATTCGACGAACCATCTCAAGAGGGAGTCTTCTTCGACCCCCCTATACTTTGAGATGTCAATCTTCAAAGTCTCGGGCCGACGCGAGTGCATCGACCCGCCAGCAGCAGCTTGCTGCTGTCTCAACAGTTCAAACTGTTGAGCACCCTGTTCTCTCAACAACTCTGCTTGTTGAGAACCTTGTTGGTGAAGCAAGGCTACTTTCTCGCGTTCTGCGTCAAGTTCATTTTGAATGAACTTGGCGATAGTAGCATGTTGGGCATCTCTATTGAGAGCCTCTAGCATGACGCTAACAGCATGGATGCCCATGGTCGAACCCATTCGTTCAACCGCATCCCATTCGACATCGCTCAAATGGGAGTAGCCGTCACGCGTAGCGTGAAAGCTTTGGTCATCTTCATCATCCAACATATTCATGTTGGATGTGAACGCGGTCCTTGGACGGACTACAAAGTGCTACCAGGTGTAACGGGGCACCCTGAAGCTTGTACTGGTGACAGTACAAGCTACTTATTCTGATAACAGAATAAGGCGGTGCCTCGTAACTTCACGTACACTCGTACGTGCAGAGGAAGACGGTAAGAAGAAGCGAGTACTCGGTTAGAGTAAAAAGTAGAACTGTATTTATAATAGTTAATGTCTGCAATAAATCACTATTTATCTTCATCTAACTATGTCTAAATACAAATGTGTAAATCAGTTATCTGCTCACCACTCATTGCGTGCGTCTGTCGTGGCGCGTCTTCGTTGGTTGATATAATGGCCTATATCAACCAATTAGGGACTACTTGGAAGTGCTACAGAATATTGTCCTTATGACAATATTCTGAGAATATAACTCTTATAGTTATATTCTATTAACAATTTCTTATAAATTGTTATGTAACGATTCACCCCGTTACAGCTGCAGTGTCTTCAATGTGGCAACCTCGGCCACACGCTGGCGCGGTGTACATTCACCGACCTTCAGTTGCGCGGGCCAGGGGGCGTAGTCGTAATGGAGGAGGACGTCAAGGGTCTCGAGGATCTTGCGAGACCATTTCTCAGCTTCGAGGAAATTAAAGAGATGGCAGGGCGGCGCCTAGCGCTCCAAGAAGCAGCGGAGGAGTTAGCTCAAGCAGCGGTTTCGCCACCCGCGCGAGGACAAATATCAGGGACGCAAGCCGCTATTTCACTTCCTGAGGTTACGAGCCCCAGTAGTGCTCCACAAGCGGAACAAGGGGAGAAGTTTGCTCACATGCAACCAGATCCGCGTCCAGCAGCACCACAGCCGTGGATCACCAAGCAGTCCAAAAAGGGACGATCGAGAGGTTCGTCTAAAGCGGCCACGGGCCAGGTAAAAGCGGTGGCCTCACAGGTGCGGACAGGAGGGCAGGAGCTTATAGGCGAGGATGGCGAGGACTGGGCCGAGGAGACAAAAACTAGTTCGGATGCGTCGGAAGAGATCAGGGTGCTTCATTCACGGTCAGCCGGGGCACTTAATCCAACGGTGGGCTTATCTGACGGGGCCGGTACGCACTCGCTTCTTACGTCTTCCGAGAAGGCCCGGAAGCAACGGGGGGGCTGGACGTGGGTCGGCTCCGAGTACGACGGGTCCAGTGCTGATGACTCTCAAGCGTAACGAGAGAGGATCCTTTCGACAATTGGTCGCGGATTTGGGTCGGCTGCCCAAGGCTCTGACGACAGTACGAGCACGAGCAACAGACGTCCCGACGGACGTAGCAGAGTTAACGTCCCAACTTGCGATTTACCCGGTAATCACACCGGCTACTACTAATTGTCTTGCCATGGCTATTGCCCAAGCGGCAACGGACGCGTCCCTGGACGGTCCAGACAGGCATCTGGAGCTACTGACAGCTTGCCTTAAACGGGGGATTAAATTGTCGGGCTTGCTGGATCTGGAGGATCAGTATGCTCACGATCATAGAGTTCATGCTCTGGCTAGCGTCAGCAGAGGTTGGCCTACGATGACTCACAAGGAATCAGCTTCGCAGATACGATGGTACCTCGAAGACTATGCTACCAGCCCGTCCGCCCGAACGGCTCTGGTTGGTTCGGACACATGGGGGGGCTGCGATATGGTCGGCATGGCGGCCAATTTTCTACAACAGTCAATCTATGTTATCGAGTTTCTTACTGGCCAGACCCACCCGTGGCGCTGCCGTAAATTTGTACCCACCACGATCACCCGCCATCGGCGGAGGGTCGTGACGGCGGCGGAATGTCCGCTGGGAATTATGGACCTCATGGATGCAGTATTAGCGGCAAAAATTGAGGCACCCGGGCTCCCTCCTCTCGTATTGCGCTACCAGAATTGCCACTATTCCGCTATTAATCACTCTGGGAGTTCCAGTCTGTTGCCCGACTTGGTGGCGGAGACAACATCACTTGAGCAGACGGCTGCTGGTACGTCGGTGTGTCCGGTTACTCAGGAGGCGACGGCGCCTGTACCCGAGACGTCTGGACAGCTAGCAGGGATACTAGTCTTACGGGATGACTTTATCGACGCGTCAACGGAGGTCCTGAGTAGACATAGACCGGACGATTGCAACGCGCGAGCACTGGTGGAGCGGCAGGTTAGCTGTTCTACGATTCCCTCAGCGCCTCCAGCAAGGATGCGACCCCCTCCCCCGCTGATCGTAAAAGGGCGCTTGTGGCGTCTCAAATTTTGCAGATATCAGATGGGACGGACAGGTCGCAGCGCGCCAAGGAAGCGGTAGCTAAGAGAGAAGGCGAGACCCAGGGCCTCAGCTCCCCCAGGCGATGAGGCAAACGAGCGCGTCGACCGAACGGACTGGGCAGCAGCGTGGGGAGCTTATGGAATCGATGTGGCCAAACCCGAAACAGATTCCATTTCCTCTCGCCAGCAGCTCGACGTTAGAATGGCAGAGGGTCGCTGGTCATGTGCCCGATCACTTACTCTGGCTAGTCAAGAGGTTCACGTTTCCTGGTGAGCTTCTTCAGATCCTGGACCCGTCTGTTTTAGTCCATTGGATGGCGGAGAACCGGCACGGCTGTTTGGTAGATGGACTGCGGCTGTAACGGGGTGAATCGTTACATAACAATTTATTAGAAATTGTTAATAGAATATAACTATAAGAGTTATATTCTCAGAATATTGTCATAAGGACAAATATTCTGTAGCACTTACGAGAAGTTCCTAATTGGTTGATATAGGCCATTATATCAACCAACGAAGACGCGCCACGACAGACGCACGCAATGAGTGGTGAGCAGATATTTGATTTACACATTTGTATTTAGACATAGTTAGATGAAGATAAATAGTGATTTATTGCAGACATTAACTATACTAAATATAGTTCTACTTTTTACTCTAACCAAGTACTCGCTTCTTCTTACCGTCTTCCTCTGCACGTACGAGTGTACGTGAAGTTACGAGGCACCGCCTTATTCTGTCATCAGAATAAGTAGCTTGTACTGTGACCAGTACAAGCTTCAGGGTGCCCCGTTACACCTGGTAGCACTTCGTAGTCCGTCCAAGGACCGCGTTCACATCCAACATGAATATGTTGGATGATGAAGATGACCAAAGCTTTCACGCTTCGCGTGACGGCTACTCCCATTTGAGCGATGTCGAATGGGATGCGGTTGAACGGATGGGTTCAACCATGGGCATCCATGCTGTTAGCGTCATGCTAGAGGCTCTCAATAGAGATGCCCAACATGCTACTATCGCCAAGTTCATTCAAAATGAACTTGACGCTGAACGCGAGAAAGTAGCCTTGCTTCACCAACAAGGTTCTCAACAAGCAGAGTTGTTGAGAGAACAGGGTGCTCAACAGTTTGAACTGTTGAGACAGCAGCAGGCTGCTGCTGGTGGGTCGATGCACTCGCGTCGACCCGAAACCTTGAAGATTGACATCTCCAAGTATAGGGGGTCGAAGAAGACTCCCTCTTGAGATGGTTCGTCGAATTGGATGACGCCATAAGGGCGCGTCGCATCGACGACGGGGATATGCAAGTTGCATTTGCCCAGTCAAATCTGGCAGGACGTGCCAAGACTTGGGCACTGGGGCTCAAGTTGCACGACCCATATGCGTTTGGGTCGTTGGAAGTCTTCAAGTCGCGGCTCAGACAAACGTTTGAACCGCCTAGAGCTGAGTTCAGAGCTCGAACCGAACTCTTGAAGCTCAAGCAGGGTAAGCGTGATGTGCACGCTTACGCTCAACATATACGACATCTCACGAGTTGTATAAGTTCCAATCCGGTGGATGAACACACGTTGGTTTCGGTGTTCATGCAGGGTCTTGCGGATGGTCCCGTCAAGACTCACCTGTTCCGGCTTGAACTAGATTCACTAGAACAAGCCATTTCCATTGCGGAGCAGGAAGACTTCAGTCTGAGACAGGCTCGCGCCAGCTCGACATCATATCGTCAACCGAGACGATATGACAACGGAGGTCCAGAGTCGATGGAACTTTGTGATGTAGAGAGCGAGAAGGCTCGCTCTACAGGCTACAAGAAGTTGCAGAGATGCAACAGATGTCAAAAGACAGAACACTACGCTTACGAGTGTAGTGCCTCTCGTCCAGTGTCTCGCGACACTGGGCGTAGTGACCGTCCACCCATGAGAAAGGGGCAGGGACGCGGGTCCGCAGTTGGTGCAAAGACGCAACAACGGGATGGACCGTCAAAAAACGGACAGGATCAGTAGGTGCGGAGCACCCTACTGATCCAGCAACGTCAAGAGAATTTGTAGGCCTCTTGATGAAGGTTGCTCCCAACACACAAACGTTGTGCGTTGCTGCTCTAGGTAATGAGGTCTCACTCATTACCTTGAAACTCGAAGTGACGAATAAGTTGTCCCTTCGAGCTCTAGTCGATTGTGGGGCGTCCAACAATTTTGTGCGACGCCAATCGCTAGAAGATGGTCACTTTAAATTCAGTGAATGTGACACACCTCCTACGAGGATGACGGTACGTCTTGCGACAGGCGCATCCGTAACCGTCATGAAGCGTATAGTGAAGATCCACTATACGCTAGAAGATACCCAATATGACGATGACTTTATCGTATTGGATTTGGATGACAAATTTGATGTCATCCTTGGAATACCGTGGCTCAGAAGGTACGAACCACGGGTAAACTGGCAACATCGAACAGTAACGATGCCTGCCGCTTGTTCATCAGATGGCCATCTGATGAACGTTTTGGAGCGTCCACAAGCGTGTGGATGTACTACGAGTGAGTGCGATGGCCTCACTTGTGGTACGGTCGTTAGTACGACTGCACAAAACCTTAGTGTAACAAACAGTTGCACTTCGGAGCAATATTCCGGCGGCTGTGAGGAAACACAGGCTGCGCCGAAGGTCCACCACTCGAATAAGTCGGGTGGACTGGGACAAAGATGTATCCCTAGCGGGGAACATCTAGAAGAGAAACAATCGATCGCTCAGGTTAAGCGAAACGATAATCCTAGATCGACTGGAGAGTCTTTCGTAGAGGATCTCGCTGTGGTTGCGCAACCCCAGCTAGAGGAAGTAAAGGGAATAAGTCCCGATATTACAGATACGGCGGAAATAGGCTCCCCGAAACCCGAGGGAATAAGTCCCCGGGAAGCCGAGGGGAATAAGTCCTTCGAGGCCTGAGGGAATAAGTCCCCAGGAACTGACAGAGACATTGAATGTCATAGTCAATGATGGATCAAGTGTGGGAGCTTACACACTTGATCTTATTGCGCCTCCGAAGTTGACTTCGGAGATCACCCAGTTGCCAACGCTCGAACATAAAAGGTTCTTGCGTGATCTGCGTAGTGGCAAAGTCAAGCAGATCTGCATACTCGTCACTGACGACGAGTGTGTAACCGACATAAGGTCAGCAACAGTGTTCACTGAGAACGAGAGAGTTCTCAGTAGTTCATCTATGGACGAAAGTGTCCTAGAAGAAAAGACACGAGTTGAGCGATATGACTCCCAATCGTGGGAATCGCTCAAGAAAAATCCTCTCTATGACGATTTGGTTGAATTCAAGGATGTATTCCCTGAAACTGTTCCGTGCGAATTACCGAAGGATAAAGGTATTCGACACGAGGTCGAGCTTAAACCAGGCTCGAAGTACTGTGTCATGAAGCAGTGGCCACTGCCTCGTGAACAAGTACTTGCGATCGACAAGTTCTTTGCCGATCGTTTAGCTGCGGGCCATGTGAGGGAATCAACTTCCCCACATAGCTCTCCGACCTTCTGTGTGCGAAAAGCAACAGGAGGGTGGCGGATAGTGCACGCGTTCAACAAATTGAACGCTGCAACGGTACCGGCTCAGACGCCGATACCAAGGAAGGACGTAATTATTGATGGTATGTCAAAGAGTACCATCTTTTCGTCCATGGATTTGATGGATGGCTTCTATCAAATCCTTATGCGGGAACGGGATATACCCTATACCGCAGTTAGCACGCCTAGCGGCATGCTCTGGGAATGGCTAGTAATGCCACAAGGGCTTAGTAATGCCCCTGCCACATTCAACAGATGTGTATCGCATCTGTTGAGACCAGTACGAGAATTCGCGCCGATTTATTTCGATGACGTATTCACCCATAGTCGAGCTATGAATGGAAAGTCGGACGTTGAGGTTCACAGGTACCACGTCCGACAGGTTCTTACAATCATGCGAAAGCATCAATTGTATGCTAACCTCAAGAAGTGTGTATTTGCAGCAAGCGAAATACCACTTCTTGGGTGCATCGTTGGTAAGAACGGTGTACGTCCTGATCCCAAAAAGATCAAGGCGATCACCGACTGGCCTGTGCCGGTTGATGTCAAAGGTCTTCGAAAATTCCTTGGGCTAGCGGCGTATTTGCACAAGTATTCACGCAATTACGCCGAGATGACTGTGCACCTCTCTCCTTTGTTGAAAAAGAACGAGAGGTGGTTATGGAACGCTGAATGTCAGCGCTCCTTTGAGGGTATCAAGCAGAGCTTGATACAATCCCCAGTCCTAGCAATAGCCGATCAGGACAGGCCATTTCATGTGGTCTGTGATGCCAGCGATTTCGCAATCGGCTGTGCATTAATGCAGTACGACCTAGAAGGCGTAGAACGCGTCGTCTGCTATCAGTCGCTTCAGCTGCAACCAGCTGAGCGGAACTATCCAGTGCATGACAAGGAACTCCTTGCCATGAAGTATGCACTCGCGAAGTTCAGAGTCTATCTATTAGGAGATAGACCCTTCATTGTTTACACTGACCGTGCGTCGTTACGCACGGCAGTGAGCAGCCCGCACCTTTCACAACGAATGGCGCGGTGGTTGTCATTCTCTGCGGAATACAACTTTACGGTCGAGTACAAACCAGGACGACTTAATGTCGTCGCTGATGCACTCTCACGTCGTCCCGACTTTGAAACAGTCGCGAAACCCAACAGTGAGACAGTCACTGTTGCGGTTATGACGTCCTCAGTTCCATCTACAACGTTGTATGATGATGTGAGGCGGGCGTACGCCCAAGATGGTGAGATAGTGAAGTTGTTGTCACATCTCTCCCAACCATCTCGAGAATCGTTGAAACGATTGTCGTCTGCGTATCGATCTGCATCAGATCGATACACTACTCGTAACGGTTTACTGTACTATACAGCCGTTTCTGGTGACACACCACGTGTTGTCATTCCAGATGATACTGATCTGCGTTTGCGGATCATGTTCGAGTATCACGATGCTCCTATAGGAGGACATCGTGGCCGAGAGAAAACATATCTCACGGTAAGTCGAGACTTTTACTGGCCCCGCCAGTATCAGTTTGTGCGAAAGTATGTTCGCGCATGCGAAGTCTGCCAACGAGTGAAGTCAAGTCCTTCACTGCGTGCACCATTACAGCCTCTACCGGTTCCGGCTGAGTGCTGGGAATCCATCTCAATGGATTTCGTCTTCGGGTTACCCAAAGACGCACGCGGGAATACGGGTATTCTCGTATTTGTTGACAGATTCAGCAAAATGGTACACCTTGTGGCTGTACCAGAGACAATCACGGCAAGTGGCTGTGCTTGTGTCTTTATTGACACCATCTTCCGACTTCATGGGTTGCCCCGTGAACTCGTATCAGACAGATATCCACGATTCACTGCTGATTTCTGGCGTTCCGTGTTCAAATCACTCGGAACGCGCTTGAAGATGTCTACATCTGATCATCCAGAGTCAGATGGTCAGACGGAACGTGCCAATCGTGTCCTTGAAGAGATACTTCGAGGATACGTACACTCCTTTAAGAGTTGGAGTGAGTTTTTGCCAATGGTAGAGTTTGCCATTAACAACTCGGTGCATGCGTCCACGACATATACACCGTTTTACGTGAATGGCTTGCGCCATCCGCGTGTACCCACCTTACTAGAGTGTAACTCTGGTTTAAGGGGGGTAGGGACTCGCGCGAGCAAAAACCGATTTGGTTCACTCTCATCACGCTCTGACGAAGAAGTCATTGCGTTTGATGCCGATATCGATAACATCGATATCGAAGAAGATGATGCCAGTGAGAGTGCGGAAGCCCTCACTGAAGAAAAGGTTGATGTTGCTGCAGTGCGCTCACAGTGCACTGAAGCTAACGAGTCATCAGATGAGTTCGTACTGGCCCGTGAAACGGTAGTCCGTTTTGTGCAAGACTCCATCGCCGAAGCGGTGGATAAGCAAAAGCAAAACGCTGATAAGAATGGAAGGGCAAACACTCTTTTATTTAATAAATGTGACTTAGTCCTACTGTCTACGGTTAATCTACCAAAACATGTAGTGACTAACTTGGGTAGCAGTAAACTACTACCCAAGTACATTGGCCAATTTCGTGTATTGCACCGCCTAGGCAATGCATACACGATCGAGTTACCACGTAAGATGCGAACGCATCCCACGTTTTACGTTGGTCGGCTTAAGCCGTACCATCAGTACGCTGCTTCTTCCGATGAAGAACGCCCTTGCGCTCAAGCATCTCGCAGAGAGCCTTGTGCTCCCGATGGTGGGCATCAACAAGGGTCTGAAGAGCAGCTATCTCATCCCGAGACCGATCAGCAATCCCACGAGCTACCCTTAGCTCGTCACGAAGAGATGTCAGAGATCTCTCGTTCTCAAGCTGAGCAAAGGCAAACTCAGCTCGATGCTTCAAGGCAGTGTCCGCCATTTGGAGACGCCTATTCCGCTCATGCTCGAGATCGTCGCGTAACCCTTGCGTTACGCGATCAAAGAAGCTCTCGGGAACATACCGATCCACATGATCGTGTGGAGAGCGTCTTTCCTCCTCCTCCACCTCCATTAGAGGACTCTCGCGGTGGCCAGCGCTATCTAGTTGAGCAGCTGTTGAACCACCGTGACGTGAACGGACGTCGGACGAGTTATCTCGTCCGATGGCGCGGTTATACCCCGTCCTGGGATACTTGGGAGCCCCGCTCCCAACTGATGGTTGACGTACTGGGTCTGGTTGAGCAGTACGACGCGGCACATCCTGTGCCGCAGAAGGACCGCCGGAGAAAGTCTTCCCGGCACGGTCGTAAAGGGATTTCAGGTTGTCAATCCCTTCGTACATCTCAGTAGAGATACGTACGCGCCACCACGGGCTGGTAGGGAGGTAAGCCTCCTTAGGTGCTCGTGCAGAGTTGTTCACACAACATGGGCACGAGTCTCCCCAAGAGAGGCAGGGTAATCCTTTCTCCCTTGACAGACGATGCAGCTTGTAGCGTGCACCTGTCGGGGTTCGCTTTTCAAACTTATCACGAGCTTTGATAAGTTTGTCGTTCCAAGCGTCACGACCTACATCCTCAAGGTTATGGATGTAGGCGTTCCGCGCCTGAAGTAGTGAGGGACCATCACGTTTGTGATTCCCACTGTACCATCGATGTCTATAGAAAGCATCGATGAAGAACTCGTTTTCAGCGCGATAGTTTTTCGCGCTGGGGTCAAGGTGATGGATCCTTGACGAATCGAACAATCGTGTTCGACAACGATCACTCGTCGTCGCCGACAAGTGATCCATGACGAATTTTGGAGGCATCCATGCCTTCTTTTCTGGAGCGAGACGCAACACATTGCGGTCCCGCTCTTCCTGCGACGTGCCGACAGAAGTACTGGCACCTCGCTGTGAAGTGGTGTCCATTGGAGAACCGACACCACTATTAGCGCCCGAGTCTCGCGACCTCGAGCGCCTTCGCTTCGGCGATGGTTCATCTGATTCATCAGATGAACCAAAGATGCTGCGACGCAAAGCATCGTTCATGCCACGCTTGGCAGGCGGCTTAGATTCAATTGCCGTCGATACGGATCCGTCATCCGTATCAGGAGAGTACGAGACACCGAGCTCGTACTCTGTGAAGACACGAGTGTCTTCATGACCAGCGCCTGCATCACCAAGTGACACAGGCTGGGTCGCTTCAGCAACCGATGAGACATCAGTTGCTGTTGTTTCTGCTTCGGCGTCCGCACAGAGACGTGCAGACTCGCTCTCGGCGGCCTTGCTCGCGCATCGCATGGGCTTGTTAACCATGCGATGAAATGTTGGAAAGTGGACGCGGACCAACAAGTGCAAACCCTGTCCCAAATGATTTGGGACGAGTATCCACTTAGTCAATCAGTCACTAAAGTGACTGATGGTTAAGGGGGGGGTGATGTAACGGGGTGAATCGTTACATAACAATTTAATTAGAAATTGTTAATAGAATATAACTATAAGAGTTATATTCTCAGAATATTGTCATAAGGACAAATATTCTGTAGCACTTACGAGTAGTTCCTAATTGGTTGACATAGGCCATTATATCAACCAACGAAGACGCGCCACGATAGACGCACGCAATGAGTGGTGAGCAGATATTTGATTTACACATTTGTATTTAGACATAGTTAGATGAAGATAAATAGTGATTTATTGCAGACATTAACTATACTAAATATAGTTCTACTTTTTACTCTAACCAAGTACTCGCTTCTTCTTACCGTCTTCCTCTGCACGTACGAGTGTACGTGAAGTTACGAGGCACCGCCTTATTCTGTCATCAGAATAAGTAGCTTGTACTGTCACCAGTACAAGCTTCAGGGTGCCCCGTTACAGCGGCGGTATCGCGAGCAACCTGTCAGTCAGCACACGACACAGTGGCTCGACCAATGGATCCGAAACTCGCAGCACCGCACCGATTCCGTCGTTTTGGCGCCGCTTATGGACAGTTCCGATGATTGGGGCCGGTTGAGGGAACAAGATTATGCGGGGGATGATTTGCTAAAATTTTGCGATCCCCAGCGGAAAGCGAAGCTGAGCCAACACTTAGTGTGTGCGCTAGTGTACGATCGAGAGATAGCAGCGCTCGTGGAAGGGGTTCCAGCGGATACGCGCGTGTCCGAGAAGCTCCGATCACATTTCCACCTACTGAGCACGAATGCTTTGTACAGGAAGGCGTATTACTCGTCCGCCAGCGTGGCTGACTGGGCGGCGATTGAGCGGTTTTTCTACTCAGGGCTCACCCGTCCTGCGGAGACATATCTCCTCCAGGACTAAGGGCACTCCACGGGTACTCCTCACGTCGCTGTCTACGGATGCGACGCTCTCGAGCGCGGACGCATACGGTCGCAGCGCATTGCTTCATACCATCCTGGGATCCACTTCTCGCCACACAAGTCAGAGGACGGCGAATCAGAGGCTTCTGACCCAAAATGTCCTCGGCTTCACACAGGCCAAACGGATCCAATGGATGACGGCCTGGCGTCGGACTCCAGTGAGCTCTAGGCCTCTAGCTTGGTGCATACAGGAAACTCATGTCACGAGCGCCGAGGAAGCAGCGGACCTGCGGCAGGAATGGCGCCGGTTGTGGGGAAAGCATCGCGACTCCGGTCAGGCGCCCATGTCCTTTTGGACGGTAGGGTCCTCTAAGACCAGTGGTGTGGCCATTTTACTCACTCCGACAGCCGCTACGGGGGCCGTTGCGTGGAATGAAGACAAATGGCATTCTCGCGCTATTGGGATTACAGTGCAGGACTTATGTATCATAAATGTTTACGCCCCCAATCTCAGGGGAGAGCGCGAGGCTTTTTCACGAGTCTTCACGGGTGGAACTTGCCGCTGGGGAGAACAGCCTTGCTAGGGGATTTTAATTGCGTGCAGAGTCCTCAACTGGATCGACTAGGTTCTCGAATTGCTAGTAGGACGGAAAGTCCTGCGCTGGAAAAGTTACTCGAGACGTCTAGGCTGAGTGATGCTCGTCTTATGAGGTATCATGCAGACGAAGAGGAAGAGGATTTGACTGATCACTACACATACTGGACTGCCGAAACAGCCATCCGGATCGACCGAATCTACGTATCCGAATACTGGGCATCGACAGTTCTATGACGGTCCGCCACTCCTCCCTCTGTCTACTCTGATCACCAACAGGTCGTTCTTCATTTACGGCTCCGTCAATCCAAACCCACAACCTCCGCCAGAGCGCGTGTTGTGTATCCTATCGAGTCAAATCAACAGGACCGGGTCTTAAGAGATCTATTACGAGAAATGGAAGCCTCGCGGGTGGGTCACGCGCCTACAGTACAATCTTGGGACACTACCGTGAACCGGTGCGTCCGCTGTTTAACCGTGGTAAATAAACGGGAAAAGCAGCGGCTACGGCGCTTTATCTCGAAAATACGACAGCGAGGGAGGCGGCTGTTTTTCACCAGGCGTCATTGGATAGCGGCCAATGTGGAGGAAATGCGGGAGGATCATTTAGTGCGTCTCGGCGAGCAGTTAGAGAGATCTACCGAGCGTCTTCGGTGGTCTTACAAGCGGGTAGCCAATTGGGAACGGGACCAACGTGTCTCCTCGTTGACAGCACGCTATGGGCACGCATTCACACGACATATGTCCCTGGCAGATAGATTTGCGTCGGAGTGGGAGTCCGTGTTAAGCGCCAGCCATCGCAAGGAGCCACTGGACTCGTTGCCCGCGGCGATCCGTGATTTCGCGACGATCCCACATGTGCAAGTGCTCACTCCACTCGATAATGAACGCCTGCTGCTACCGATAACGTAGGCCGAGGTGCTTTCAGCCGTCCGAGGGCTGAGTCGGTATAAAGCGGCGGGTCCCGATGGTCTCAATAATGATTTTTACAAAGATACAGCAGCGCTGATGGTGCCGGCGCTTGTAGCTATCGGCAACCAAATTCTAGCGGGGGCCGACCTACCCCCCCCTCATTTCTGTCGGCTTCAATTATTCCGCTTATGAAGAAAGGTGACTCAGATGACGCCATGGATTATCGACCGATCTCTTTATTACAAACCGGGTACAAGGTTTTTGCCAAGGTGCTAGCTACGAGGGTGCAGGTGTGTTTACCGCGTATCATTAGTGACTCCCAACAAGGTTTTGTTCACGGGCGCCGTATGACCAAGACGGTGATGATGATGATGGCCCAACTAACGACGGCACGGAGCAGATCGACTTGACGGCGGAAGACAGTCGCTGTATCTTATTACTCGACTTTCGGAAGGCTTACGATACTGTGGACCGAGATTTCTTATACGAGTCCATGCGTCTATTTGGTTTTACAGAAAGCTTTATTGACCTCATCTGTCGGATCCACACGGGCACGACTGCAACTTTTGTCGTTAATGGAGGTCAATCCTCCGCGCTCCCGGTGCGTTCCGGAATCCGGCAAGGCTGCCCGCTTGCTCCTCTCCTCTTTTTACTCGTAGTAGAGGTATTAGGGCTCGCCCTCAAGCAAGACCCGTCACTCAAAGGATTGCCAGTGCCTGGGACTGTCGACCGGACTCATCTCTTTTCGGCGTTCGTCGATGACTCAACGCTCTTTTTGGACACGGCAAAACAAATCCTCCATGCTCTCGGAATTATTCAAGCGTTTGGGAATCTGTCAGGCCTTCATGTGCAACCGGCAAAGAGCAAGCTTCTTTTTTTGAACCGGGCCATCTCCAGAGCGAGCTTTGCCGGTATAGACATCGTGCCCTCCGGCGCCACTACCAGGTACCTTGGGTACGAGATCGGGACCGGGCCTCTGGACAACAAAAATTGGGCTCATCGGATCCGGACAATTCAGCGCCGCCTCCTCACTGCGACGCGGGTGGCGACAAGCGTTAGAACAGGGTACTCATCCTGAACTCCATTGTTCTCCCCTCCTTGCTATTTACGGCGTCCGTCTTCTACGTCCCTCGATGGGCGGAAAAAGAGGTGCATAATTCATACAAGAACTTTCTATGGGAGCACGCGACTGTGACCGACAATAGCCGCCACAAGGTCAACCCAGGCCTGCTAGTGACGCCCAAACAGGCTGGGGGATTAAGCTTATCGATGTCTCGGTAGCTGTCAAGACTCAACGGACGAAGCATGCGATTAGTTGGCTAACGCAGCGCCAGGACAAGTATTTTGACGCATGGCGAGTATGGGCTTTTTGGGGAGAGCCTCCGGGTACTGCGAAGAAAATTTCACCAGCTACGGCTACTAGGAGGGCGGAGTCACGATGTAGCCGCTCTAAGTACCAGGCACTGACGCAGGAGCTTGGAGAATGGCTCGCACCTACACCAGCACAACTTGACAGCCTGAAGTCGTGGATCGCCAGTCAATCGCCGGCTCTGCTTGAACGGGCCGCCAGCTGGTGGGAAGGGGAGGATTACGTATTGTCGTATTATCAAGCCTTTCCTCGGCGGCCGGTGGGGGCCGATGACTTTCCACTAGAAATTCAGCGGTTTTGGCACACCTTTAATTGGAGTGCAAACCCCTGGATCCGGGATATGAGCGGTAATCTGCTGACACGCAGAAAGTACGATCGGATAGCAGTATGCTCTCTGGAAGTGCTTAACATAGTGCGCACAGGTCCGGCAGAATTTGTGATGACTGTGCCTCTGCCGCTACACCACCCAGGCCCTCACTCAGGAGCCAAATTAAGGCGGTGGGCGACAGCCTTGCTCTTATCCTCACCCTAATTACAAATTGGAGAGGCTCTAAACACGCCACCAGCACTCCGACCCCGACACGAGCCTCCGTTCTCGGTCAGCTTTGACTGGAGGCTGAACAGCGCTGGCAGCATTGAAGGTCGGCCATCGTCCAGTTCGAGGAGCCCACCCACGTCTTTCACTCTACACCAAGCCAGTGACGGGCTGCGATGGTTTTTTCAGGGATCGGTGCCGGAGTTAATTGACGAGTCCGACATCGCTCGACAGGCGCTTACCCGCGAGCTCTTGACAGGAGGGCTCGTTGTTGAAGCGAACCCGCAGCTTCACCATTTTCCTTGGTCCGTTCTGGACAAAACGTCCAACATTCACATCGTTCAGGAACTCGGTCGCCAGGCTTTCCAGTTTCACAAGAAAGTATTTGCCCGCCCCCTGAAGGATTTTATCTCACGTCTCGGCGACAGGGCTCTCATCGACAAGTAGCAGAGTGCCGCTCTCAGGCAATCTCCGCGGCAAGTGTGGGATCATTGTCACGGACTCTCTCCATATCAAGTCTGGACAGGGTATCGGGTCGCGACGCGCCAGCTCAACCTGTACCATGCGGCGCGTCCTGTGGACAATAGTTGCCGGAAGGCACCAGCCTGTCACGGATGTCAAGGGACGATCATGCATGTCTTTTGGGAGTGCAACAGCGCAACTGCCCTATGGATTAAACTGATTGAGCACTGGACCGGGGAACGCGCGTCCCGCGAGCGGACCCAACAATTCTTGGTCGCCTGCGCCAGTCGCCAGGCCCACACGATACAGTCACACCGGATGAAAATCTTAAACGACCGATTTCAAGACGACGTAGCTGCGGCCATCCGCGTATGGAAAGAAATGTGGCACATCCTGGCGACGATGTGTCAGACAAGGATATGGACAGACCGGAATGCGGCGGTCTTCCAAGCAGAGTCTATCGATATTACTAGGGGTACCGAAAATTTCTGGGCCTCGTGCATCCGCCAGCTTCGAGCTATAGCGCAGAGGCGGCATCGAAAAGTAGCAACAGCAATTACCGGGGCAGTGCTTTATGCATGCATCGAGTTATTGGAAACCGAACCAAGAGGGTTGCCAGTGGTCACTGGCACCAGCGACGAAGAGCCCCCGGGTACCCCGGCGCTTACGTCCTGGCTTAGTTCATACCAGAGATCTTGCACGTAGTTTAAGCTAAGTAAATAGACACTCTGAAACTCTCTCTCTCTCATAAGAGTCGGCGTGGTCGTTTGTTGGGATGACGCATCCCCAGGCCCCCGTGTGAATGACCTCACAGACGGTGTCGACTGACAGCTCGCAGTAGTCGCCGACACTGTCGCGAGTGACATTCGAGTCACAGTCGGCGATCGCCACATCACCTTTGACAGGGCAAGAGGATCCGGCAGGCGACGAGCCTTCGCCGCTGCAGACGGGCCCGTCGATGCAGTAGGTGGCGTCACGCTCGACGCTGATTGGCCAGCAGCCGAGGTCCTCGTCGTACTTGGGGGTACCAGCTGATGCTGGCAAGGCCGCAGAAAGACTAAAGATCGAGAAAACCAAGACTTTCATGGTTGCTGCTGGACGGTTGAATGCGCTGAGCGAGGACTCGAGCTGTCGAGTGGTGGTGGTGGAGGTGGTGGTGACTCGCCTTTGCTGCAAGTTGCAGAATGAATTGAACGGAGCGTCTTCTTCTTCTTCTTCCCCTTGTAGCTAGCAGCCCGTGGTGCTGTCGAGATGCAGGAGGCAACTCCAGAACGAAGGTCGATGGTGCGGATCTGGACCAAAGACTGACCAGTGCAGCGAGGTGTTGCCCCCGATGGTTCTACCGCACGCGTGTGAGTCAAAGTTGCCTCTTTTGTTCTTGCCAAGTTGCCGTGAAACATTGTTTGGTGGTTGTGATGCACCATATTGTCGTGAGAAGGTCGAGACGAGTGTTTCAGTATGTTGCGGCAGCAGCTTTCAGGATACGAATGAATGACTCGGGTTTCGTGACGAAAATCGAATCGAACGATAAATTCCACCATATGGCGACAAACGGCCTTGTAGGTGGCAGTCAGAAATGCAACGATTGCTACTGCGACCGGTCTTGACGTCGCCAGAGCGCGGTGCAACTGGGGAACTGTGAATCACCAAAGTTTCGTTGCTCTCTGCCCTCTCTCTTTCTCTGGCGCGCGCCTTCGTGCTTGCTTGTTGTTTCATTGGCATCGACGTGTTGGCGGCACTACAAATGAGACGCCAGAACTGAATATGTACTCATTGACGCGGAACCTCATGGAGGCAAACGTTAACGCAGAACCTCATCAAGGCACGCCACCATTAGGATGGTAGAGTCTCCAATGGCTCAAACGATTCATCGTAGTAGATGGAAATGTGATATGCAACACCCGAAAAGCCTGAGTCAATTCTGATCTACGCCTTCTGTCGCCCGCACATGACAACTACTGTTCATACAAGGCATGCATTTGTTACCGGGCACCAGTCGCTAAGATTCATAGCGATCGGCGACTTCGATGCCGGAATGTTTCTTCCAAAACGTTTTTAGGCGTGAAGTAGAATCATCCCTTTATTGGGTAGCTCGCACCATGTGGCAACCAAAGATCGTCGTGCTACTACCTAACAGGCAGGCCAATGCATTTACTTTTGCTGTTTTCCCTTGAAGTACTTCTGCTTTAGCTGTAGGTGCTTCGGCCAGTCGGATTGCAGTGTTGATAACCCAATTTGGCGGGCTGCCAAATGCTTGTCCTCTTTTAAACTCTTGCGATTACTCGGACAAGGTCATAGGAGAGGGTTATTTCATTCAACCGGTCATGTTCCTCGTAGTCTTATGTGCGATCTGATGACATAGCATGTCGAGGGTTATGCAAATCGCATCGACGCTGACACCATTTTGCAAGCACAGCTCTACATCTGATTAGGTGTCCTCCATTCAGTCTTAACCTCTGGTATAGTATCGAACGGGACGTCTACCGATCGCTGGTAAGTGTTAGGTTTAGAGCAATCTGAGTAATTTCTAACCCTCTTTCGAGTTACTTCAGAACAGAAATACAGAGAAATGTACATGCTCATCGAGTTGCACCAGCCACAGAGTGCCAAGTGCTTTTAGTTCCACAAAGTAGAGTGACTGGGTAAGTTGCATCCGACCATCAGGTCATGCGATAGTAGCAGACGTTAGTCCATCCCAGACGACCGAGCAGAAAGCATTGATCTATGCTGCGCTCGTTTGATCGACCGTGCGCATTACCTTAGCATGTGTTCGATAACCAGCGTCCATCTTGATGGAGAGTGCTACCCGAGGGCTCATGAACAACGAATGGATGACAACGCCAACCATTTGGTCCTGTTTTGCTGATGGTAGAAAGCGTGCCACCCTTGAGTTCTCGTTATCGTATGATAGCGTTTGGGGAGCAGCTACCACGTTTGCATGACGGTCGGAACGGTCCGCCACTTCCTTCCAATATCAGTCGATGCGGCCATCACCGAGTAATCGGTCAACTGCTGGCAGGGACAACAGCTCTCTTGCCCTGTTTCTACCAACAGCTATACGAATGTGTCTGTCCTCATCAACCTACTGCGTCCCAACAGTTTCGTACTCGGAAGCTTGGCAAAAAAGGAGTTGTAAGACATTTTGATGGAAAGGTATCCGTTTACGCCTTGGTTAAAGGTACCGTCGTTGTAGCTACCACTTCTCGTAGCTACCACTGTTGTGGTGGCCGCCGTTGTAGTGACCCTCTCCATAGCCACCGCTCTTGTGGTAATCGCTGGTGCGGTGGCCACCTTCGTATCTGTTGTTGTCCTCGGTGTCGTCGTCGTTCTTGTCGTTGTTGCTGTTCTTGTCATCGTTGGTGTTGTCATTCTTGCCGTCGTGATTGGCGGACTCGTTCTCTCCGTAGCTGTTGCTGTTGTTGCTGTTGCTGTTGTGGTGGTAGTCGCTCATGTGGTCACCGCTGTTGTACTTACCCTCTCCATAGCTGTCGCTGTTTTGTCGATCGCTCATGTGGTGGCCGTTGTTGTGTTCGTCATCACATTCGTAGCTGCCGCTGTTTCTGCCACTGTCGCTGTTATAGTAGGACGAGTCTTGGTTCTGACTACCGTAGTGGGAGTCATCGCCATGGTGGGAGTGTCGGTCTTTGGAGTTACCGTCGTGGGAGTTACGGTGGTGATGGGCACCGCGGTGCGAGTTACGGTGGTGCGAGTTACGGTCGTGCGAGTTACGGTCGCGCGAGTTACGGTGGTGCGGACGGTTATGTTTAGAAGAGTCGGCGTGGTCGTTTGTTGGGATGACGCATCCCCAGGCCCCCGTGTGAATGACCTCACAGACGGTGTCGACTGACAGCTCGCAGTAGTCGCCGACACTGTCGCGAGTGACATTCGAGTCACAGTCGGCGATCGCCACATCACCTTTGACAGGGCACGAGGATCCGGCAGGCGACGAGCCTTCGCCGCTGCAGACGGGCCCGTCGATGCAGTAGGTGGCGTCACGCTCGACGCTGATTGGCCAGCAGCCGAGGTCCTCGTCGTACTTGGGGGTACCAGCTGATGCTGGCAAGGCCGCAGAAAGACTAAAGATCGAGAAAACCAAGACTTTCATGGTTGCTGTTGGACGGTTGAATGCGCTGAGCGAGGACTCGAGCTGTCGAGTGGTGGAGGTGGAGGTGATGGTGACTCGCCTTTGCTGCAAGTTGCAGAATGAAATGAGCGGAGCGTCTGTTTCTTCTTCTTCCCCTTGTAGCTAGCAGCCCGTGGTGCTGTCGAGATGCAGGAGGCAACTCCAGAACGAAGGTCGATGGTGCGGATCTGGACCAAAGACTGACCAGTGCAGCGAGGTGTTGCCCCCGATGGTTCTACCGCACGCGTGTGAGTCAAAGTTGCCTCTTTTGTTCTGGCCAAGTTGCCGTGAAACATTGTTTGGTGGTTGTGATGCACCATATTGTCGTGAGAAGGTCGCGACGAGTGTTTCAGTATGTTGCGGCAGCAGCTTTCAGGATACGAATGAATGACTCGGGTTTCGTGACGAAAATCGAATCGAACGATAAATTCCACCATATGGCGACAAACGGCCTTGTAGGTGGCAGTCAGAAATGCAACGATTGCTACTGCGACCGGTCTTGACGTCGCCAGAGCGCGGTGCAACTGGGGAACTGTGAATCACCAAAGTTGCGTTTCTTTCCACTCTCTCTCTCGCTGGCGCGTGCCTGCGTGGTTGTTGTTTCATTGGTATCGACGTGTTGGCGGCACTACAAATGAGACGCCAGAACTGAATATGTACTCATTGACGCGGAACCTCATGGAGGCAAACGTTAACGCAGAACCTCATCGACGCTCGCCACCATTAGGATGGTAGAGTCTCCAATGGCTCAAACGATTCATCGTAGTAGATGGAAATGTGATATGCAACACCCGAAAAGCCTGAGTCAATTCTGATCTACGCCTTCTGTCGCCCGCACATGACAACTACTGTTCATACAAGGCATGCATTTGTTACCGGGCACCAGTCGCTAAGATTCATAGCGATCGGCGACTTCGATGCCGGAATGTTTCTTCCAAAACGTTTTTAGGCGTGAAGTAGAATCATCCCTTTATTGGGTAGCTCGCACCATGTGGCAACCAAAGATCGTCGTGCTACTACCTAACAGGCAGGCCAATGCATTTACTTTTGCCGTTTTCCCTTGAAGTACTTCTGCTTTAGCTGTAGGTGCTTCGTCCAGTCGGATTGCAGCGTTGATAACCCAATTTGGCGTGCTGCCAAATGCTTGTCCTCTTTTAAACTCTTGCGATTACTCGGACAAGGTCATAGGAGAGGGTTATTTCATTAGGCTGGTCATGTTCCTCGTAGTCTTATGTGCGATCTGATGACATAGCATGTCGAGGGTTATGCAAATCGCATCGACGCTGACACCATTTTGCAAGCACAGCTCTACATCTGATTAGGTGTCCTCCATTCAGTCTTAACCTCTGGTATAGTATCGAACGGGACGTCTACCGATCGCTGGTAAGTGTTAGGTTTAGAGCAATCTGAGTAATTTCTAACCCTCTTTCGAGTTACTTCAGAACAGAAATACAGAGAAATGTACATGCTCATCGAGTTGCACCAGCCACAGAGTGCCAAGTGCTTTTAGTTCCACAAAGTAGAGTGACTGGGTAAGTTGCATCCGACCATCAGGTCATGCGATAGTAGCAGACGTTAGTCCATCCCAGACGACCGAGCAGAAAGCATTGATCTATGCTGCGCTCGTTTGATCGACCGTGCGCATTACCTTAGCATGTGTTTGATAACCAGCGTCCATCTTGATGGAGAGTGCTACCCGAGGGCTCATGAACAACGAATGGATGACAACGCCAACCATTTGGTCCTGTTTTGCTGATGGTAGAAAGCGTGCCACCCTTGAGTTCTCGTTATCGTATGATAGCGTTTGGGGAGCAGCTACCACGTTTGCATGACGGTCGGAACGGTCCGCCACTTCCTTCCAATATCAGTCGATGCGGCCATCACCGAGTAATCGGTCAACTGCTGGCAGGGACAACAGCTCTCTTGCCCTGTTTCTACCAACAGCTATACGAATGTGTCTGTCCTCATCAACCTACTGCGTCCCAACAGTTTCGTACTCGGAAGCTTGGCAAAAAAGGAGTTGTAAGACATTTTGATGGAAAGGTATCCGTTTACGCCTTGGTTAAAGGTACCGTCGTTGTAGCTACCACTTTTCGTAGCTACCACTGTTGTGGTGGCCGCCGTTGTAGTGACCCTCTCCATAGCCACCGCTCTTGTGGTAATCGCTGGTGCGGTGGCCACCTTCGTATCTGTTGTTGTCCTCGGTGTCGTCGTCGTTCTTGTCGTTGTTGCTGTTCTTGTCATCGTTGGTGTTGTCATTCTTGCCGTCGTGATTGGCGGACTCGTTCTCTCCGTAGCTGTTGCTGTTGTTGCTGTTGCTGTTGTGGTGGTAGTCGCTCATGTGGTCACCGCTGTTGTACTTACCCTCTCCATAGCTGTCGCTGTTTTGTCGATCGCTCATGTGGTGGCCGTTGTTGTGTTCGTCATCACATTCGTAGCTGCCGCTGTTTCTGCCACTGTCGCTGTTATAGTAGGACGAGTCTTGGTTCTGACTACCGTAGTGGGAGTCATCGCCATGGTGGGAGTGTCGGTCTTTGGAGTTACCGTCGTGGGAGTTACGGTGGTGATGGGCACCGCGGTGCGAGTTACGGTGGTGCGAGTTACGGTCGTGCGAGTTACGGTCGCTCGAGTTACGGTGGTGCGGACGGTTATGTTTAGAAGAGTCGGCGTGGTCGTTTGTTGGGATGACGCATCCCCAGGCCCCCGTGTGAATGACATCACAGACGGTGTCGACTGACAGCTCGCAGTAGTCGCCGACACTGTCGCGAGTGACATTCGAGTCACAGTCGGCGATCGCCACATCACCTTTGACAGGGCACGAGGATCCGGCAGGCGACGAGCCTTCGCCGCTGCAGACGGGCCCGTCGATGCAGTAGGTGGCGTCACGCTCGACGCTGATTGGCCAGCAGCCGAGGTCCTCGTCGTACTTGGGGGTACCAGCTGATGCTGGCAAGGCCGCAGAAAGACTAAAGATCGAGAAAACCAAGACTTTCATGGTTGCTGCTGGACGGTTGAATGCTGCTGAGCGAGGACTCAAGCTGTCGAGTGGTGGAGGTGGAGGTTCAGGTGGAGGTTGAGGTTGTGACTCGCCTTTGCTGCAAATTGCAGAATGAAATGAACGGAGCGTCTTCTTCTTCTTCTTCTCCTTGTAGCTAGTCCGTGGTGCTGTCGAGATGCAGAAGACAACTCTAGAACGAAGGAGAACGGTGCGGATCTGGACCAAAGACTGACCAGTGCAGCGAGGTGTTGCCCCCGATGGTTCTACCGCACGCGTGTGAGTCAAAGTTGCCTCTTTTGTTCTGGCCAAGTTGCCGTGAAACATTGTTTGGTGGTTGTGATGCACCATATTGTCGTGAGAAGGTCGAGACGAGTGTTTCAGTATGTTGCGGCAGCAGCTTTCAGGATACGAATGAATCTCGGGTTTCGTGACGAAAAATCAAATCGAAAGATCAATTCCACCATATGGCGACGAACGGCCTTGTAGGTGGCAGTCAGAAATGCAAAGGTTGCTACTGCAACCGGTCTCGACGTCGCCAGACGCGGAGCAACTGGGGAACAGTGAATCATTGCGGTTGCCTCGCTCTCCGCCCTCTCTCCGCCTCCTTCTTTGGCGCGTGCCTGCGTGCTTGCTTGTTGTTTCATAGGTATCGACGTGTTGGCGGCACTACAAATGAGACGCCAGAACTAAATATGTACACATCGACGCGGAACCTCATGGAGGCAAACGTTGACGCAGAACCTCATCGAGGCTCGCCATCATTTGGATGGTAGAGTCCCCAATGGGTCAAACGATTCGTCGTAGTAGATGGAAATGTGATATGCAACACCCGAAAAGCCTGAGTCAATTCTGATCTAAGTCTTCTATCGCCCGCATATGACAACCGCTGTTCATACAATGCAGCAATTTGTTGCCGGGCACCAGTCGCTAAGATTCGTATCCGTCAGAATTTCGATGCCCGGATGTTTCTTCCAAAACGTTTTTAGGCGTGAAGTAGAATCATCCCTTTATTGGGTAGCTCGCACCATGTGGCAACCAAAGATAGTCGTGCTACTACCTAACAAGCCAGTGCATTTACTTTTTCTGTTTTCCCTTGAAGTACTTCTGCTTTAGCTGTAGGTGCTTCAGCCAGTCGGATTGCAGTGTTGATAACCCAATTTGGCGTGCCGCCAAATACTTGTCCTCTTTCAAACTTTTGCGATTACTCGGACAAGGTCATAGGAGAGGGTTATTCCATTTAACCGGTCATGTTCCTCGTAGTCTTATGTGCGACTAGATGACATAGCGTGTCGAGGGTCATACCAATCGCATCGACGCTGACACCATTTTGCAAGCACAGCTCTACATCTGGTTAGGTGTCCTCCATTCAGTCTTCACATCTGGTAGGGTATCGAACGGGGCGTCTACCGATCGCTGGTAAGTGTCAGGTTTTGAGCGATCTGAGTAATTTCGAGTTACTTCAGAACAGAAACAGAGAAATGTAGATGCCCATCGAGCTACACCCAACCACGGAGTGCCAAGTGCTTTTAGTATCACAATGTAACGGGGTTGCACGAAATTATGGTGCGTTGTACCAGGGGTGTTACACACCTGAGGTTATCCCTTTGTGAAGGTGATATCGAATATCTTATTGGTTTGTAGGGGCTGACGAGTGTCAGCCATTAGGTACGAAAGATCTTTGAGTAGGATTAAGATATTCTATAGGCTTTAACAAAATAAAATCAGTTCCCATTTTGATCTGAAGGACACGTGGCTTGCGAGCCGTCTTGATCGTTGATCACTGATCACTAAGAGCTAGCGACACCTCCTTGAGGTAGCTACTCTTGAGCACTGAGTGCTGTCGATTCACTGATCGTTAGGTCCCCTGGAACAGGGATCTGAAGCTGTAAAGCTTGTTGACCCGTAAAGTCGTTAGTTCTTTGGAACTAAGTTGCTCGTAGAGCGTTAAGTCTTCCTCTGACTTAAGGAGCACTGTAGCTCCGCTACACTTGGTAGCATTTGTAGTCAATACGCCTGAGTCTTTAAGACTGATTTTCAGTGAGGATGGAAAACACCACTCCCCTATCTGAGGCCCAAAAGGTCGCGCTTGATAAGCTGACCGCATCTTTGGGTCCAGAGTACGTGGAGTTCCTTGTTTCACAAGGTCCTGAAGTGCTTAATGCACGTGTTGAAAGCTTCATGCAGTATGAAGCGACCCTTTTAGGGCAGGTCCAAGACCAAGTAGCGTCGGCTATGCCTACGCGCTATGTGTCTGTACCAGACGAAGAGGCTAAGCCTCGTCCACTTAGAGTGGAAGTAAAAAACTACTCCGGTAAGGAGGGTGAGAACCTCATCCTCTGGATCCGTGAGATCGAGATGGCCATGAGATCAGGTCTGATCACGCTTGACCATCAACAGGTCTCGCTGGCTATCTCGAAGCTCGATGGTAGAGCTAGAGAATGGGTCTTGACGTGTAGCACGTCGGTGGACATAGCGTTTCCTACATGGGAGTCGCTCAAGTCACAATTGGTACAGGTGTTTTCTCCACCTAACCAGGCTTACCGCGTGCGTTCACGCTTTCTTTCTACCCGCCAGGGTAAAAATGAACTGTCGGACTATGTCCAAGAGCTGCGAACGCTCATGGCTGCAATGCAGTCTGACCCTCTGCCTGAAGCAGTCCATGTGACTATCTTCATGGAAGGTCTACGTACTGGCATTGCCAGAACCGAGGTTTTTCGGGTTCACCCCTCTACGTATGAAGAGGCTGTGAGAATTGCTCTTAATGCTGAGCATAACTTCAAGTCGGCCAGACTTGGTTGGAATGGATTCAATCCTCGCTCTGTGAGAGCAAACTATTCGGGTACCCCTGCCTATAATAGGCCGGAACCGATGGATCTCAGCTATGCTGAAGATGGAGGTGAAGCTGAGCTTCAAGCTGCTGAGCAGCAACACGTCGTACGACGATGCTTTACGTGCGGAAGCACTAAACACTTGCGGCCTGGTTGCCCTTTGCGTAAGCAACGCCAGGCTACGAGCCAACACTCGACCCCGAGTTAGAAGTCTGGTATGGCACGGGGAAATGCCGACACCCAGTAGGCGCGGGGCGCCCTACTGGGGAAGAACTATGTTCTGTTACACCTTTAGAAGGTAAAGGAATGCAGGGCTTAGCCCCAAAGAGTACCGTACCTACAGGTATGGTGCGTGGATACAAGTCTGGCTTGTTGGTCGCCGAGGCGAAAATTAAGGGCTTTGAGAAGCCTTGGTCGATATTGATCGATTCTGGAGCGTCTTGCAATTATGCTCGACGCCGTTCCCTTGAGGGAAGTCAGCGTTATGCTGAGGCGCTTACAGCGCATGAGGGTGATTCTATCACGGTTCGTTTAGCGACTGGAAGTCGCGTAACTGTGCCTAAAGTTCCATTGAACTTAGGTATAAAGTTTTTAGACTTTGACAGTATTGAGCGCTGTCTTGTCCTAGATTTGGACTCGAGATATGATCTCATCCTAGGTATGGCTTGGCTTGAGCGCCATGAGCCATGGATTGATTGGAGGTCCAAGACCTTAGGCGCTACGCGCAATGTTCCTGGCGAAGCTATGGAGAGTCATGAACCCACCTTCGCTAGGCAACAAAAACGCTACTGGCGCGAGCCTTTGACAGAAGATGTCAATGTGCTGAATATTGGAATGTCTGAGTTATCTAACTCCAATGTTACAAACATAAGTTTCGAGCTTAGCTCGTTTAGTGAAACGGCACGTACTCCGTTGAGTGTTACTCGTTGTGATAACGAGTCACTGCATGCTGAAAGCATGGTTGGCCTAGGGCCGAGTGATCAAGGATGTGATTCCTTTGATGTGTGTATGGTGGCATGTGAAACTACACCGAGTGCGGTCGGCCGTGAGAGCACCGCACTGAATGTCGGTAATGACATTTCTGGCGATACGCCATTTAGTGTGGGCGGCCGTGAAGGCACCACGCTTAACGCCGGTAATGGCCTTGTTGGCGATACGCCGTATAGTGTGGGCGGCCGTGAGGGCACCACGCTTAACGTCGGTAATGATACTGTTGGCGATACGCCGTATAGTGTGGGCGGCCGTGAGGGCACCACACCTAATGTCAGTAATGATACTGTTGACGATACGCCGTATAGTGTGGACGGCCGTGAGGGCACCACACCTAATGTCGGTCAAGACAAAAGCTCTCGTATATAGCGTACTATGGTTGGTAGTAACCATGGGGACAATGTTGTCCCGACCCCTAAGGGGTGTAAGGTCTCGAAGAGACGATCGAGACGCCGGGTAGCTACTTTTAAGCGCCAGGCGTCCTCACAGTCACATAGTGATAATAGTAATACACTATATACACTTGTTAATGGAGTGACTGGTCGGGTTGATGGCAGCGTTTTCCTTGAAACCCTTCCATCCGTGGACGCTCTTTGTGAGCTAGACGAAATGTCTGATGGCGAGTTTAGCCAGGCCTTAAAGGCAGGAGAGTTATCCGAGTTAGCGGTCATTAGACCTGATACTGAGTTGAATTCTTCCTCGTTATTGGATGAGTCTGTCCTAGAGGATACAAAGGCGGCACTTAGTGCACGAAGTGGATCTTCGATCCTTAAAGATCCTTTGGATCAGTTCTATCCTTTAGTTAAGGAATTTCAAGATGTGGTGTGTCACAACCCACCTTCTGCCTTACCTCCCGATAGAGGTGTACGTCATGAGATTGACTTGGTTCCTGGAACTAAATACTGTGTAACACGGCAGTGGCCTTTGCCTACAGAACAGTGTGACGTCATTGACGAATTCTTTCGTGCTAAGCACGCGGCTGGAATGGTTCGTGAGAGTAAATCTCCCCATTCAACACCGACATTTTGTGTCAAAAAGCCAAATGGCAAGTGGCGTATTGTGCATGCTTATAATAAGCTTAATGCAGCCACTATACCGGCGCAGACGCCTATTCCTAGAAAGGATGTTTTTCAGAACAATATGGCAGGATGTACATTGTACAGTGCACTCGACTTAGTCGACGGTTATTACCAACTGCTCATGCGAGCAAGTGATATTCCGCTAACAGCGGTGAGTACTCCGAGCGGTATGCTCTGGGATGGGCTCGTTATGCCACAAGGGCTATCTAACGCCCCGGCTACATTTAACCGGTTGGTAACGCAACTATTCAGACCTCATCGAGGCTATGCACAAGCGTACTTTGATGACATTTTTGTCCATAGTCGTGCAATGAATGGGCGATCAGATGTGGATAACCACATCGATCATTTACGAGCGGTGCTCGAGTGTATGCGAGCGAATAAGTTGTATGCGAACGCATCGAAGTGCATCTTTGGTGCAGAAGAGATTCCCTTTCTAGGGTGCTTCATTGGGAAGCGAGGCCTTCGAGCGGATCCCGCTAAGGTAAAAGCCATAGTCGATTGGCCAGTCCCCAAGAACCAAAAGGACTTGCGTAAGTGGCTTGGCCTTGCCAATTACTTACATAAGTACAGTGCGAATTACGCAGATATGGCTCGGCCATTGTCCAATCTCCTTAAAAAGGATGTGGATTGGTGTTGGAGTAACACCGAACATGATGCGTTTGAAGCCGTTACGGAAAGTCTCCTTCATGCGCCAATATTGGCTTTGCCCGATCCTGATCGGCCTTTCAGTGTCGTCTGTGACGCATCTGACTTTGCCATAGGCAGTGCTCTGTTACAAACAGATGTCGATGGACGCGAACGCGTCATCGCATTCGAGTCTCGACAGCTAAAAGCTGCCGAAAAGAACTATCCAGTTCATGACAAAGAGATACTTGCTATGAAGTACGCTCTAGTCAAATTCAGAGTACATCTGCTTGGCTCAAAGCCGTTTGTGGTCTATACAGATCATGCGTCATTACGCACTGCGACACAGTCGCCTCATCTCTCACAGAGAATGGCTCGTTGGCTTTCCTTCTTTGCCGAATATAACTTCGAGGTGAAGTACAAGCCAGGTAAGCAAAACGCTTTGGCTGATGCGCTATCGCGTCGACCTGACTATGAGCTTGCTCATGTTACGACTCTGTCGTCGTCGGTCACTGACTTAATCCGTGCGGCATATGCCAAGGATGAACAGTGTGTAGCTTTGCTACGGGCTCTTGGGAGCGATGAGTTTAAAGACTCGGACATAGAATTGTCGGCACGTTTACGTGCGAGGCTACATCGATATTCCATCGATAATGGCCTGTTGTGCTATCGCACGGATATTGAGAACAACCCTCGTATCGTTGTACCTGTTGATGAGGAATTAAAGTATCGAATCCTCTATGAGGCACATGATACTGCTATAAGTGGTCATCTCGGTCGTGAGAAGACTTATAGCTCGGTGAGCCAAAGTTATTGGTGGCCCAAACTTTATAAGTGGGTGCGCACCTATGTGCGTACGTGCGAAACGTGTCAACGGGTAAAACCCTCGGCACATGCGGCGGCGCCGCTGGCTAGTTTGCCAGTACCCACTGGTTGTTGGGAGTCCATGAGCATGGATTTTGTGTTTGGCCTACCGAAAGATTCGGAAGGCAACACTGATATTGTGGTCTTTGTTGACCGATTGATCAAGATGGCTCACTTAGCGGCTGTGCCGGATAGCATCGATGCTGAAGGTACAGCAAAGCTGTTTATCGACCGTGTGTTTCGCCAACATGGCTTGCCTGTGTGAATTATCTCTGATAGAGACCCCCGCTTCACTGGGAAATTTTGATAGTCTATCTTCAAGATGCTTGGCACTCGGTTGGACATGTCCACAGCGGATCATCCGCAGACCGACGGTCAAACTGAGCGCGTAAACCGCGTCATCAACGATGTTTTGCGCAGTATTTGCGCTGATACGCCTAGGCGTTGGAGCTCAATGCTCCCTGTTGTTGAGTTTGCGTTGAATAACGCTGTTCATGCCTCAACAGGCTTTACTCCGTTCTATATAAACGGTCTCACCCACCCTCGCGTTCCGTTAACGCTATCACTACGTGAATCAGGGCTTGGTGGGGGAGAGGTTGCCGATCGGCTTGCTGATATCAGCCCTGCTACTGTCCAAAAACAGGTAAGCGAGTTTCTCGCAACGCGATTAAATGTCTTAAGACATGTGCGTGACGCAATGGCTGATAGCCAAGATACCCAGAAACAACAAGCTGATGCCAAAGGCAGAAATTGTATTGAACGTTATGAGGTCGGAGACCAAGTACTACTCAATGCTAAAAAACCTACCTACAAATGTAGTGTCTGCTGTCTTTAAGACGAAGTTGCGTCCACGCTTTATTGGACCGTTTACGGTCACGGCCAAGAAGGGACTTGCGTATACGCTAAACCTTCCGCGCAAATTGCGCACACATCCAGTGTTCTACGTAGGCTTACTTAAGCCGTACCGGGATCCTTCCCATGTGAACTTGGAGGCGCTTGCGCCGACGACAAGGGCACTGCCCCGGATTGCTGTAGACGAATCAGCAAGTCCAACTGAGCATCGCTCCGAGTTTGAGCTTGCTCCATCGCCTGAAGGCGGATTTGCATCGCATCCAGCATGCACTGGGACTTACCCAAGGCCTCTTGAAGACCCTTCACTTCGAGAACCAATTTCTCGTGGGCCTCCACCGGTACACCGGCCGCCACCGACTTTGCTCGATGAGCATGGGTGTCGTCAATTTAATGTCGAGGGACTACTGAAACGACGTCGTCGTCAGGGTTAGTACCAGTATCTGGTAAAGTGGCGTGGGTACCCTGAGTCCGAAAACTCATGGGAATTTGAGGTCCCTCTTCGGCAAGACTGCCCATATGCTTTGGAGACTTTTTAAATGAATTACTTGTCCACAAGTTTTTCGTTCCTGGCGCTGATCTCTTGCGCAAAAGTCAGCTGTTTTGATCACGCGTGATGGATGGTGCTTGCACTTCATTAAATTGCTCGTAGAAACTTGCATATACTTATCGGGTCCCGAGCGAGCGCTTTAAACTCTAATTGTTAGAATATGCTAATGATGTCTTATATATTGCGCGTATACATCCACGAATTTTTGTGGACAAGCCACATTGCAGAAAATTTCTAAAAAGTTCGGTGGAGTGCCCAGTAAAAGTTTTCAGTCGTTTTCGTGCTCCGTCTTAGTCCTACGCAAAAATGTTGTCATTTTAGATTGGCATATCAAATTCTTGTGCGCTCAAAATGCACTCCACTTTTGCGTGTGAATAATGTTGCTCATTTGACACCGCTATAGCATTGATCTGACTTGCAGAAAGGTAATTGGAATGAAAGACGTGTAAGCAAGCTCTCGGTTAATTACTAACTCTTCGGATCTAATTACAAAGCAATTAAACACTTTTCGTGAGCGTTCGGTACATAGGCATAATGAACGGTACGTTTGCGGCGAGTGAAAGAATACTCAAGCGTTACGGTCTTTCTAGAAGATGTGGGTCGAATCACATGTTGTGGTGTGTAATTATAACGTTTAATATTGTAGGTGTCATTTTATCATCCACAAACTGCCTCGTTTTAAAATTTCACATATCCCTGGGACAGCAAACGACACTAAAAACAAATTAAAATCGTCATTTTCGCCTCCATGGTTACCAAATGTTGCGATATACATCTTAGAATGCGTCTGGAAGTGCATTTAACGGAGACTTGCCGGCAAGCATTTTCTCGCAAACGTTTACACGGATGTTCTAACATGTTGCTTCGCGATGCAAACGTTCCGCTCTTGTCTTAAACATGTTATTGTAAGATAAAGACGGTCTTTAGCTCTTGATAAGGCTAAAGTGCGTTCATATTTTGATGTTTAAAGAATTCAATCGCTACAATGCAGCGATGGGTGGGCAAATGGCTGTGTTTGTTATTGAAATGTAAATTAAACATTTAAATGTTGAGGGCGCTAAATTTACTTGAATCTTGAATAGAAATTCTAAATTGGAGCTGTTAATGATTCGTCGCGTTGCGCAGTACATAGAGTTACCTTCCTTGGAGCATCGGAGCTCAATGGACTTGATACTGATACTGATTTTTGAACAACTCGTACTGGCTTTTAAAAAAATGACCATCTGCGCATCTATGTAACCGGCCGCTCAAATTACTGCTTCGCACTTGCAATATACACATTTAGTAGTTGAGTCAACGTAGACCATAGGTTTAATACATATACAATAAACTCAAGACTGTGAGAAGTTGAGATGAATGATTAAAAACACAGTTTCAAATTCGGTCCTTTGTTAGTGCAAACGCAATATTACTTACAAGAATATACGTAACGCAAGGACTAGCACCAAAGTAGTGAACGATTATTAGCACAAAAATGCTGATAAATGTATCCCTTTTCTTACGCGCCAGGATTTTCTTTTTTTTGTATGTAAATGTTTTTAGTTTGTGCATATGCGCGGATCTTGGATGCCCATGCAAACGTATTAATTGATCGCGCAGTAATCGATAATCGACGTCAGATCTCGCTTAACTCTAAACAATAAATGACAGGGCCTTCGTAGGTTTACTAAGATTATCTAGACGATAGGAACCTTCTTGACAAAATATTTACATCTACTACAGCTAGCTTATCCTTAGACGATCCAGAAGGACGAGCGAATAGCACCTGTGCCTTAATTCCCAGAGCTATAACCCGATAAAGCTTGCAAAAATGATCAGATATATCATCAGAATATCACTTAAGTTTACTTAAGCCTCTGCAATGAAATTTGAAACAATCCTCTACACAACAACAACTTTAACACCGAATAAACCATAAAGATTTGCATAAATCTGTAGCATATCCTCAATTTTTTTTTACCTAAGTACTAATAGCAGCAAAGGCCAACCTTCTTTTTTAACGAAAGTTCGACCCATCTCGAGGACGTCGCCGGTACAAAAAGCATTTTTCCTCGCAGAACTTTCGCAGGCGACACATTACAACATCGGAATTATCCACAACCCTCTCTTCGTCAAGATAACACGTTCAAATTAAATGATAATTATGTTTCGGTTACCCGGCAAGTGATAGCGGCGTTACTATCAAAAAATTTAGTCGAGATGCAACAAAAACATAAAATACACGCTCACACTTCTCTATCCAAGATTATTGCAGCGGTTACGTGCTATACACCCTTAAAATGTAAGTGAGATTGCAAGGTGACTGACCCTTTTGACAAATGCGCGGTGTATAATTTCCATATATTATCGTAAAGGTAGATGTATATGCATACTGTCTTGAGGTCGAAATCCACCTTAGTAACCTAGATATGAATCAATAATGTTGCTGGTCATACAGAAAAACTTCTACTCAGTCCTGCAATACTAGCATTACTTCGGGATTTACTTAATCGACGACCAACTTAATTTAAATGTGTTTGTCATAAAGGGAATGTGATAGATTGCATTTCTTAATATATTTTTTTTCAACACACCTGCCACAGTCCAAACATTTGGGTTCTTCTGACATATTTCAGCGACGATAATAAAGTTGTATCCAAATTTATGGATGCACTATGCCGTCAGCACGAAGGTTTCATGTGCGTCGTTTGTATTAATTTTAACGTCGGTGTGAATTACATTTGAGGCCTTAATAGTAACTTCAGATACTCAAGTTGTTCAGTTGGTCACTTTTATGCCATCCACAATGATAAAGTGAGTCAGAAGTGTGCATGTCATGTTCTTAGCTTGCTAGCTAACACAAAGTACACGTCTTGGTGATGTAAGCGATATTAAAGACGTTAAGATAGCTGATGTACATATAAGCTTTCCAATTAATAAATTGTATGTATTCATATCCCTAATTGCTGAACTTTAACGGTCTTTCTACCATATCGCTAAAATTAAAAGAGTCACTACAGTCATCGACAACATTCGTTAGACATCAAGAAATCAGGGCTACTTATTGCTAAAGCGTTTAGCAGCGATTTTGTCGCTACGCGCTTCAACCTTTTCCTTAAAGTATTGGAGTTATAAAAGGAGCAAAACGTATTACACCCGATTCATGAATTGAGACTTCTACTCACCTCAGTTACGACAGAAGTCGGGTTGAGAGCATGTAAGAAGTGGCCTATTTCTTTCTGCTTAACCCTCAGCATTTATGTTGACCGCATTTTTGTAGCTTCCTCTTCACAAAGAGCAACTTGTTCGGCAATGTTGGTAAACCTGATCTTCTCCATCGCTTTTTGCCTGCTCTCGTTTAGGAGCGATCTTTTTTTTACGTTGCACTTGAGTTATCCTATTTGTCTCCGTGTCCGCATAATCACGGTCCATTTATGCGTCTTCTTTGCGACATTATACGTATGATTCTCAATTTAAAAGTTTAAAAACAAAGATTGGTATAGCATGAGCGAATGTGATTAAATCATTCCTGAATTCGTCGAATCCATATCGCTTTTGGGGAGCAACACTCAATTTGTTTTTAGCTGGGTATAAATTATGGTAATTGCACAATATTTGGGTGGAACTGCAGGCGACATATTAAGAAGTTAGAGGCGACCGAGTGATTAAGGATAAGAAAGAGTTGATTAAGATCGCTTCCTCACGAACGTTTAGAGTAAACGGTAATAGGAACCACAAACCCTTTTACATTCATCGACTCCCTCTTTCTGCAACAACAGGTCGATGATTTTTGAGTGAACGCCATCTTGCCCCCGCCCCGGAGAGCAAACTGCTATATGACTTCACAAAACTCAGAGCCAAAGGCCAACTGCAATCATTTTATAGCACTAGTTACGTAAAACCGACTGCCGGTAAGCACACCGAAGCTTTGAATGCACAATAATCCGCGATTTCTTATCCATGTCTGGTGAGCAACCCCTACACCCCCACACCTACTGGTGGGAAGCGCGTTGAGTCGTAAGCCGACCCGCCGCATGACGCTCATAAACGTCAGCGTGCTACGGGAAATCATTCTAAAGTTGCACCTGAAACTTCTATGAGTTCTTAGACGCAAGGTATCTGCGCCACTTCACCAGATACTGGTATTGACCTTGATGATGACGCCAATTCATTATCTTCTAAACATGTGACCATACGTTTCCTTGCTCGTCGGGCAGAGGCGGAAGAGGTCAGAGTAATGGTGCAGGATTATGAAGAGCTCGTTTATGATACTTCTTGCGTCCATGGGTCTCTTGCTCGTATTCAGAGTGCACTGGATCAGTTTGAGACTGATAAGAAACAACTTCGAGAGATTCTCGACCAAGTGCAGAGAGATCATGAACAGTCGTCAGCTGTGTTGACTCAGGTTCGTGGGCAGATTAACCGCTTTGGCTCGATCAACTCGGTCGACAGACGACTTCAGAAAGTGGAGAACAACCTGTCTCAGTTGTATGACCAGGATGAACGCTTGACGAAGTTGCATTTATTGGGGACGTCGACCCTTCTTCAGCCTCCCAATACACGAGAAAGGGATCCTGATACGGATTGAGTAACCCAACGTAGAATACTGGGTGTGCATAGCTTGCGCGAATTGTTTAGCGTATAAGCAAGGCCTTTCTTAGCAATGACCATGATATCCCAATGAAGCGCGGACGCAATTTTGTCTTACAGACGACAGACGCTACATTTGTAGGAAGATTTGTAGCATTTAGTAACACTTGGTCTCCACTTCATAAGAATCAATGCACCCCTTCACATAGTATCATCTGGATCTTTTGTTTGTCTTGTCTAGCAGCCATTGCATCATGAACATGTCGTAAGACACTAAAGCGCGTTGCGATAAAATCGCTCACTCGTTTCTGCACAGCGATAGAGCTCCCAACAATCTCGTAGGCAAACTCTCCACCACCAAGGTCAGATCCAAGCAGTAGTAGTATTAAGACGCGCGGGCGTGTGATACAGCGCACGTAGATATATGTAAATTTGTTAAAGGCATGAACGGCGTTGTTGAACGGAAGTAAACGGCAGGATGCATCTAACTCCAAGTTTACAGCGCGATTTTGCACAAACACTGCGAAGAACATCGTTATGGACGTAATTAACTCGATAAATTTGACCATCTGTCGGCGGCTAGTCTGCTGCATGACTGGCAAATAGCATAGCTATATGTTCACCATCTCTCAGTGAGAAAAGTGTTCAAATAATCGACAAACATTATAACGTCTTTGTATTGTCTTTGGATTAAAAAAAAGACTGAACACGAAGTCCAAACTGATTAAATCCCGACACGGAGTGGGTCCAAGCAAATTGTCGAGCGCTAAGACTTTTGTGGGTTTGACCCGTTCTCACATTTACCTGTGCGCACGTATGGGCAAACCAATTTGTATAGTTTGGCCTACCAGTAGTGCTAGATAACGTATCCTTGAGTCTTTGTTCGGCCCCAATGGCTGTTGAGAGAATTGTAATTAGCATTACAAGGTGTCAATTCTTGTAATCCCCATTGTGAAGCACGACGATGCGACGGTCATCCGTTACATTTGTAGGATAGTCCAATAGTCCGTGATAGTTGCAATAACTATGTAGGCTATAAAGTAACCGTGCTGACAACTTAACGTTCATTTCGTTTCATGCGTCTCTTTTCAAGAGCATGTAGCAATCCTACTCATTAATAATCGTGTGATTTTGCGGTACGGATCCAATCTACTCTGGGCGACGAAAAAGTCGGATGCGAGAAAGCTTAAAATTAGGGCGGCGGGAAAGCTCGTCCTCAGATACATCTGTTCGCCCGTCTAATACTGCACCTCGAAGTATGTTCAGCAAAGAAATAAGATCAAACGAACCATTCTTTAAGAGGGGTGAGTCAACCATGCAGCCGTACGTAAAGACGCTTGGTCAGTTAAAAGGACTAACGGCTTAGACATAGGCATGTGGACTCTAAATTTAAGTAGAGAAAGATCACCACAATCACGTCCTTCATTATATGTATTTAAAAGAGCACTGCCAATGAAAAAAATGCGTTATAAAAGGAACTGAAGAGTACTCAGGATTAGGTAGCGCTATCATAGGAGCATTTAGTCAAAAATCTACTGAACTACTTAGAAAGCGTTCGCATGTCGCTAACATAACGCCACTTCGTATCCTTCCTACGAAGATTGGTCAACGACCTAGCCATATAGGTGTAATTATCGTTATAAAGTAATTGGAAAGGACAATCCACTTTTCTAAGTCTATTTGATATTTTTAAATCGGCCAGTCGATTATAGCTTTGAATAAAACGAAGCTCGATTCTAGACTGCGCTATCTGAATAAGCATTTTAAGAAATTCCTTTGAGCTGAAGATACATACGGATACGTCGGCCTGACACAAATTTTGTGTGTACGCACCCAAGTACTGCTTGTAAATGTTCAATATGACTTTAACATCCGCCTGTCTCTGTTTTGCTTGATGACGGAAAAATTGTCATCAAAATGTGTACGTGCATAACCCCGAAGAAAACGAAAGGAGTTGCGTCTCAAGACGGTTGAACAAATTGGATCGTTGGATGGACGTGAATTCTATGCGAGGAAGGAAATGGCCATGAATCTTTCTGAGGTCCAGCAGATCACACTTGGGAAGCTCAAGGCGTTGATCGGGCCCGATGAGGTGGCTCTTTTATTTACGCAAGACCCGGACGCCCTTTGCGCACGTCTCGAGGCCTACTAGAACTTTGAGTCCACGTTGATTGGACAGGTTCATGACCATTTGGCATCTGTCATGCCCACTCGGTACGTTCTAATACCAGACACTGAGTCAAGGACTCGCTCTTTGGTCATAAGTGTCACGACTTTTTGAGGGGAAAGAGGTAGAAAATCTCCTTTTGTGGGTTCAAGAGATGGTGGTTTTTATCACTCGGCCTTGCTGCGGTCAGAGCAGCAAAAGGTGGACCTGGCCCTATAAAAGTTAGGTGGGCAAGCCAGGGAGTGGGCCTTCACTTATGGCACCTCGATAGACGGGGCTTTTCCCAACTAGGATATGCTAAAACAGCAGCTATCTCGGGTATTTGCTCCACCTAATCAGGCATATTGCGTGCAATCACGCTTCCTGTCAACCTGCCAGGGTAAAAAGGACTTAGTCAATTATGTCCAGGAGCTGAAAATATGAATGCTGCTATGCAGCTTGGCCCTTTACCTAAGACGATTTTGGTATCTTTATGGAGGGTCTTCGAAATGGCGTTGCCAGAACAGAAGTGTTCCGTGCCCAAACCTTGACATTTGAGGGTGCAGTAGACAAAGCGTTGAACGCAGAGTTCAACTTCAAAGCTGCCCGTACGTGACTCATGGTTTCCAACCTAACTCGTCGAGCAATGCTCATCTCATGGATAGGGCAGATTTCACGGACCTTATCCTCGCTGAGAGAGACGAAGAAGTTGAGCTTTACGCTATCGAACAGCGTTTGAACGTCCGTAGATGTTTTTCATGCGAGAGCATCAAACATCTTCATCTCAATCGTCCTTTGAGAAGGACCAGACGGGCTCATTCGAGCCTGCCATCCGTCGCTAACCAACGAGTCGGTAAGGCGCGGGACAACGTCGAGTCTCAGTAGGCGAGGGGCGCTCTGTAGGGGAGGATTTAGGTTCTGTTGTACCTCCGGGAGGCGATGGAGAACAGGAACTATACCCAAGTGACTTCGTGCACAATGGCACGAAGCATGCGTACAAGCCAGGCTTGTTAGTTGCATAAGCAACAATAAAGGGCTTTGATAAGCCATGGTCGATCTAGATCGACTTCGGGGCGTCAGAAAATTACGTCCGACGTTGTTCCCTGAAAGGTAGTCAGCAGTATGCTGAGGCGCTAAAAGCGCGAAAGAATGAGACTGTCACTGTTCGCCTGGTAACAGGTGCATTATTCACTGTGCCTGAAGTTCCTGTGAACTTAGGCGTGATTATTTCGGACTTTGACAGTATTGAACGCTGTCTAGTCCTTGACTTGGATGAGATATAAAATCTCATCCTTGGTGAGGCTTGGCTAGAATGCTATGAGCCATGGATTGATTGGTGGTCAAATACCTTATGCGCAACGCGCACTGTGTTCCTAGTGGGGCTTTGGAGAGTCAAGAGCACACCTCTGCTAGGAAAAAGAAGCGCTATTGGCGAGATCCATGGACTGAGACAGTCAGTGTGCCGAACATTGGTATGGATGATTTCACTGAATTGGACAATGTCAAAAACATTAGTTGTGAGCCAAGACCATTGACTGTTCGTGAAACGGCTCTTACTCCGTCGAACGATAATCCTTGTGATAATAAATTACTGAATGCTGAAAGCATTTTTGGCATAGGGCCAAGTCATTATGGGTAGAACCCGTCTGATGAGCGTGAAGTGGCACGTCAGTACCCACTAAGTGATGTTGGCCGTGATTGCGACACTCTGAATGTCAGTCAAGATGTTGTTCGTAAAACACCAAGTCATCAAGGGCAACGCCCATTTAATGAGCATGGAGAGGCACTTAAGTACATACTGGGTGGTGATATCACTGGAAGTGACTCATTAACAGATGTCGGTAATGACATAGGATCTAGTATAGATCAAATAAGGTTTGAAACAGCTCGTCACCTTGGTGACAGTTTCGTCCCAGATGTCGGTAATGATATCGTCCCTAATATTTGGCAAGTTAAGGTTGACGCAGTTCGTTACCTTAAGGGCGGTATAGTCCTAGGTTTAGGTAATGACATCGGATCTGGTATTGAGTAATTTAAGTTTGATGGTCCTGTTAACCTTGAGGACGTTGATGTCCCGGGTGTTGGTAATGACACCGTTGCTTGTGCAGAGCAAGTTGAGGATGATGATGATATCAACCTTGGGAAAGAGAAAGTTCCAGGATATTTGAGAAGTTCAGTCTCGTCACAGAGACGACGTTGACGCCAGATCGCTGTAATGCAACGCAAGGCTTCTGTTACGTCTCCAAAGATTCTAGCGAGCAGCTATCTACACTCATTTATGGATTGACTGGTGACGTAGATGGGTCAGTGAGTCTTGAGACTTCACCCTCTTTGGATTCTCTGTTAGAGCTAGACGAAATATCTGTCGATGAGTTTGGCCTGATCTTAAAGTCAGGTGACTCATCTAAAGTGGTGGTTATTAGATTCGACGGTGAGTTGAACTCGTCGTCACTTCTTGATGAAGCTGTCCTGGAAGACACAAAGGCAGCACTGAGAGCTCGAAGTGGGTCATCGATCTTAAAAGATCCTGGAGACCCGTTTTATCCTTTGGTTAAGGAGTTTAGGGATGTGGTTTGTCACGATCCACCTTCCACTCTGCCTCCTCATTGAGGCGTACATCATGAAATTGACCTGGTTCCTGGATCCAAATACTGTGTGACACGGCAATGGCTCCTACCAAAGGATCAGTGTGACTTCAATGACGAGTTCTTTTGTACATAGCACGCGACCGGCATGGTGCGAGAGGGCAAGTCCCCGCAATCGACACGGACATTTTGTATTAGAAAGCCGAATGGAAAGTGGCACATTGTGCATGCTTACAACGCACCTACTTTACCGGCACTGATACCTAT